TCCCGCCGCGCCGCCTGCTCGCCGCCCGTTGCTGCCTGCGGCACGAGAAGCGCGCGCGGAATGCCCTGCCCGGGAGCGCTGCGTGCGGCGGCCTCGCCTGGTTCGCATAGGAGTTGTCTCCTAACCGTGGTTTTGCGTTTTGCGCGTTTGCCTTCCCGCACGTTCTAAAGCTGCTTTCGATGTTTTTGCTTGGTGTGCTGACCAATCAGAGGACTGCTTTTAAATATCGGGTCTGCGCACGGCTCAAATATAGCTGGAGCCGAGTATAACGGAGGCTTCCACAAGTACGTGGAGCTCCCTGTTTTAATGAAAGTGGCTGCTGTGTCAGACCAAGTGTAAGAGTGTGTGTGAAATTGTGCTGGGAATGGATGGTGCTGGTACTGAAGTTACGTTGCTTTTGCCTGCTGTAATTGCCCGCAACCACAAACATCCCAGCCACATCTGATACTGGGAGCACTGCATACCCCTGAACTGACTGAAATAGCACAGTGTTGTTAAATACTGTGAAACGGAACAGTGACTCAGGAGTCTTCTGTATTTGTTGTGTTTTGGCTGAACACGTGGCTGGCATGTTTTTGAAGCAAGCTTAAAGCCTTTCTGTGAATCTTTTACCAAATATAGAATCACTTTAATAAGCTGGTGTTGTTTTGCAGTAATGTGAAGTCTGTAAGTATGTGGGAAGTCATGTGCAGCTTTGAAAGTGATTGTGTTCTTCTTGTGATGGCTCTTCCTTCTATGTTCTAGATTCTCTTAATTCTCTTCCTCTATGGGGAAGTATTTCTTTCTCCAAGTAAAAGTGGCATCCTCTAAGTAAAAAGCAGCAAAAGGTGTTTTCCAAAACCTGTGCAGAATATTTTTTTTCTCTCCAATTTATCTTATGAATGTTCTGAAGTTCTGAATAGTGAAGGTGGAAGGATTGAAGTAGGTCTCTTGTATTCCTTCGGTGTTGAGGATGTTCCTCATGGAATTGATGAATGTTGACCATCTTCTGAGTTTTTAATTATGCCCCACAGACACGTGGTAGCTGCTTTGCACAGGTAACTCCAGCTGATGGCAATTCCTCATCTCATATTCCTGCTTCCTCCCCAGCTATGCATTTATTATAAAAATTGACTGTTTTTTTTTTTTTTCAATGTGATGTTCGTATATAATCAGATTTAAAGCACAAAAGTCTGAATGATATTCTTGTAAGTTACTCTTTAGCTTACTGTAAACTGTCACAATGAGAAATGTATGAGCTGTGTAAAGAATGGCATTTTTACTGTTGCCTCTTAGGATGTTGGTTACATACTCACCTGTGGGGCAGACGTACAAAAATGGAATTATGTGCATGCAGGTGGAGGAAATTTTTTATTTTCTTAAACAGATGTTCTGATGTTTTGTTGCTTAGCTTTAATTATTTAATTATTCCGATAATTTAGAAAATAGATAGCTAAGGTGCTCTCCATTGCTCTGGTGCTTTCCATTCTACCATTTTATCTTGGCTGCTTTGTCTTTTTTGGGGGGCTAGATTGTCTGCTTTGTTGGCAAGTTTATCCATTCAAACTACTTTTTTTCTTTCTTCCATTCTTTGTCTCTGTGTTGGACAGACTTTTCTGAAAACTTGGGTTTATGGGGAGATAAGGGATCCCAGAGAAATCCCAATTGCACAGGCAGTCTGTTTCATTACAGAAGTTTGGAGGTTTTTGTTCCTCCTCGTTTTTTGAGAAGCTTTGGATCTCTGAGACCTCTTTCTGAGAAGAGCGAAACAGCTTTTTCCTTTGTGTGAGAAATGTGCCATCCTCTCTTCTGAAAACTTCTGCACGTCTTGCTAAATGCTGTTTCTTCAGTAGATGACCTGAAGTGTTAAACCAGTATCAGAACAAAGAGGACTTTGATGCGTCAAGCAAAGCAACGAGTGCTGTCATGGCAAGGCATTCAATGAAAATGATTATAAGGGTGTTGTAACCCACACCTGTAAGAACTGAGTTATATGTGCACTGATAGCCTTGATTTGTTATGTGCTAATTGTGCTTGATTTTACTTGGTACTGTTTGTCTTTAAACTTTTCAAGAGGAGAACTGTTTAAAAAACAAACAAAAAACAACCTTGAGGCACATTAAAACCTTTTTACGAGAGAGAATGTATTTAAAGAACTTTAACTGATTTTTTTTCTTTTTTTCCAGAATGGTGAATACATGCAGATGATTATCAGAATTGTGTCGAATTTGCTTTTTATTTGAGAGCTTATAAAACTGCTCATCATGGAGAAACAGCAGATTGTGCTGGCTAACCGGGACGGTGGGACAGTGTCTGGCTCAGCACCTGCCTTTTTTGTTATCTTGAAACAACAGCAGGGAAATGGCAAAGGCGACCAAGGAATCCTAGTGGCCAACCGTGACGCTTGCGCTCTGGCCAGTGGCGTATTAATGCCAGTAAAACCCAAAATCAAGACCTGCCTCCCAGCTGACTGCGTCTCAGGGGGCATCACTGTCACCCTAGACAACAACAGTATGTGGAATGAATTCTACCATCGCAACACGGAGATGATTCTGACGAAGCAGGGGAGGCGCATGTTCCCTTACTGCCGATACTGGATTACAGGTCTGGATGCCAGCCAGAAGTACATCCTGGTCATGGACATCTCCCCCGTGGACAATCACCGATACAAATGGAATGGTCGCTGGTGGGAGCCTAGTGGGAAGGCAGAGCCCCACGTTCTTGGACGAGTGTTTATTCATCCAGAGTCGCCTTCCACTGGCCAGTACTGGATGCACCAGCCGGTATCTTTCTACAAACTCAAGCTTACCAACAATACCCTGGACCAGGAGGGTCATATCATCTTACATTCTATGCACCGCTATCTGCCACGCCTTCACTTGGTTCCTGCAGACAAAGCCACCGAAGTCATTCAGCTCAATGGCCCAGATGTCCATACGTTTACCTTTCCACAGACAGAGTTCTTTGCAGTTACAGCCTACCAGAATATTCAGATTACCCAGCTGAAAATAGATTACAATCCTTTTGCTAAGGGATTCAGAGATGATGGCTTGAATAGTCGGCCTCAGCGCGATGTGAAACAAAACAATAGCTTTGAACTGGAAGAAGGTAATGTTTTTAGCTCTGCCAGCATTCGTAGTTGCCCTGCTGAAGTTGACATGTTAGAATTACGTCGGAGAATAGATTCTTCATTCATTGGTCAGAACTCATCAGCCATGAACCTGGAGAAAGAATCCTTTAATACAGAACAAGACTTTGTAGGTTTCCTGGACACTGGCCTGCCTTCCAGTGATACGCCAAAGCTAAAACAAGAAGTCACTGAGAGGTGGGTTAGCATTCTGTTTTTATAATAAATGCCTGTTGAGTGAGGTATTTGGTAAAGCATCAAATAATGAGATCCTTAGTAGACAGATGCATGGATAACATTTGTTTGACCTGAAATGGTGGAATTGCTGAAAACTTTTCCTTCCTTTAGGTAGTCATCTCTCAGTTCGAACTTCCTAATGTATCTGAGGAGTACAAGAGTTTGGTGGTTTTTGTATGTTGCTTTAATTCACTTTGTAAAGAAATGTTGAGGGATTCTTGTTAACTCTTGTGGTATTTAGAAGTCTAAAGTTAGTTGTTTTGAATTTTAAAGAGAGCACGTTTCAGTCATGCAAAAGTTGCCATTTTTTTTTAAGAGTTTCTTACCACCACAACAGGCTGTCTCTGTTTCTTCATTTTTCATTAGTGAATGAGTGAGGCTGTGTGAGGGTGATGTGTGTTTGGATTGGGTATGTGTAGTGGTTGCCCCACTGCAGTAGTGGACTACTGACAAACTACATGTTTTGTCAGTAGCTTCTTATGGGAATTCCTTCCTTCCTCAAGGGAGATTGAAACAGCCCACCTTTCAGTGCTTCAGTACTTAATCTGCCAAAAAATTGGTATCAAAAGCAACCTTATGTAGATGAGTATGCCAAAACATTATTTAACTGCACATAACTACTTTGTCAAGTAACTAGGAAATCAGGATGATATTAACTGTGTAATTCAAGCTCACTTCCTAGAAGGGAAAAAGTGTGTTAATTAGAATGTAATTGTAGCTTGCTTCAAAGACTGTAGTACATTCAGCGTGTTTAGAGAGGGTAAAGATTTGTTTGATTGTTTTTTTTTCCTCGGAGAAATGATCTTCTTGCCTTTTGAGTAACTGCAAAACCTTGAATTACAAAGTTGTCCATTCATTGAGCCTTTCTGATTGTGGTTAGTCCTGACTATTCCAATTGCTGTGGATTTGGAGTGTCCTAGATTATGCAGTAATTTCCAGTAGCAGTGTATTAGAGAGAACGTCTCCTATACTTCTTAGATAGTCCAAAAATGTAAATTCTAGAGAAATATTTTCTGATTATAGATCAATGCTTAGATAACTTTTTGTTGTAAGCAGATTGTAAGTAAAACACTACATCTCTGAAAGTAGCTACTGAGAAGTTTGAAAACTTACTTTGTCTTTGAAGTGATTTTTTTTTTTCTCTTTGGAGTCAGTTCCTGTTGCAGAAGCTTAAAGTTTTGTTCATGGTCACTTTGTTCATTAGCTTTGCCTGAAGAGTGTCATTGAAGCAAATCATTTGGAGAGATGTTCAAACAGTAGCTTCTGTGGCTTTATTTTTTCCTCTCTTCTGTTTCCCTTTATTTCCCAAAGGATAAAAGCCATAGTGCTGAAAGTGTAGATGTTGTCTCACCCAGTAAATTTTGGGCTGTTTTAGAATTTCCTTTTTCCCTTTGAGTAATTTTAAGGACTTGAGAACCTTACTGAAGAGCAGCTCATTTGACTCAACAGGCTTTGTTTCTTCTGGTGTAGTGTGTATAAGATGCCTTCCCCAGTTTCATCTCAAAGACAATTCACCTCTTAACTGTGCTTAGAGATGCTCATACAGGGAGAATCCCTAAGGCATTTTCCTCTGTTCTAGGAAATATTAATCGTTTTATGAATAAATATTTCTCACAGTTCTAAAACAACCTTCAAAATTAGTCCAGCTTTTTGTTCTATCTTCTCTAATCTGTGCAAAACAGCCAAATTCTGTACTTGGAAATAAAAAAAGTAATCTCACCCAAGGAATGGCAGAACTCTTTGTTTATGTGCCGAGTTGTTCAGGACATTTATTCTATTTTTTTCCTTCAAACCTGTTTACAGAGTTTTCATGCCACTCAGCAGCCTTTCATGGACAGCATTTGAGTGAGTGGTATCCTCTTTTATCAAACTGTTATATTTACACTTTGATAACTGTTATTTCCCTGTACATAGTGTTACCTGTAAATTGGTGGGCACTGTCTTGCCTCTAGACAGGGTAGTGATTTTGGCTGGCTTTAAATTTGTGGAAGAGTTAGAAGCTGGGAGCTACTGCTCTCAGGTAATGTATCCAAGGGAGGTGGAGTTCCTAGTGCTATAGAGTGCTTGTGCTTAGTTTTGCCAACTGAAAGGTTTCCTTTGCTGCTAATGGAACTTCATAAGAGGGTGCATGCAGCTGAGAATTTGAATCTTGAGTTGTTTGTTCCTGCACTTTGGAAATAAATACTCTCATGATACCAGGTAGTCCGTTTTCTTCAGTGCTTTGGAAATATGTTTCTTTTTATCAGGCGTATTGTAAGAAAAAACAATCTTTAATTTTAGTTATGGGCATTTCTAAGTGGAAGTTTATACCTTCAACCACTCAAATGCTGGGAGCATGGAGGGAATTGCAAGCAAAAGATCATGGTTCCTAAGTCTTACAGGCTGCTGCACACTTTTCCCCTTCAAGGTCCTTTGAATTTTTTGGTTCAAAAATAGAAATACTGTGGGAGGCTTGAATGCTCCCATAGGCCTGCTTTTCTAATTTAGTAGTGCTGTGTTTAGTCCGAAAGTTTGGTTTTCTTTTCCTCCCTGGCTTTTAGAAGAGTGCTGTAGTAATCATCCTCCAGCCTCAATCACAGATAGCAACAGGTTTCTAGATCAATTCCAGTAGAGCCCGTGTGTTCCATAGTGTATTTTAAAAATGATCTACATAGAAAAATCAGGTAAATGAGCAGCTAAAAATTCAGTACGTGAGCAGTTGCATGGTTTATTGTGGCAGAATGCAGGAGAATTACTTCCGTGTGTTTGCTGTTTAATCGTGAGGTACGAAATAGCATGTTACATGGGAGTATTAAAAAAAAAACACAACTTGCTCAAATGTGAGCATTGTCCCACATTAGGTAAGGGAAGAAGCAGTTCAGAGATGATCTCACCATTTCTAGCTGATCTGAGATTAGAGGGAAGATTCTGGAAGGACAGACTGTGTGATCTGCCTTCACAGAGAGTATAGGAAAAGGTGTTGCTGTGGTTGTGTTGGAAGTAGTGCACTTCACAAACTAAAAGCAAAAGAAATGAGAACAGTGCTACGAAGAAACTTGTTACTGTTGTCCGTGAAGTTCATAATTGCATTTGAATGTAAAATATTTGGACAAATATTTGATCTTTTTTATGTACACACATGGATGATACCTCACTTGTCACCATTTGGCTTATATATGGAAGAGGAAAGTGGCGTTTGTGCCTAGGAATTTGATTTTTACAGCAGGGCTTCTTTGATTTAGGTAGGTACTGTCCAAATCTCTCACAGAATCATATTCCTTAGCTTGAGGAATGCATCTTGCAGTGGGTAGAGAAAGATGTCTGGAAAAGCCCAGACTTTGTTTGGCTTTCAATTGGAAATAGTAGAATTCGAATGAGACGTTTATTTGTCTCTTCATTTTAGAGAGTTTTAAGCATTGCCCAGGACCTCTAAGCATTATTGTGCTAGAATTTCTCTTGCTCCTTGAAGAAGAAAGGCTTTTTAATCTTGCATTTGACATTCTTCATGAAATGAATGTTAGGACTTGCTTATAGAAAACTCCATGGACAGAGAAGACAGTAGACAAAACAAGATTCTCCTGCAGCACTACAGTTACCTCAGCAGGCACACTTTTTTCTTCAAGCTTAACTCCAGTTACTCAGTGTCCCTGTGGATTTTCTAGAAAGGGTCTGTCTTCCTCCTAGGAGTTCTATTTGTAAGTATATAAATCTGTATCCTTGTTTTACACCACAGTCTTTCTTTATGAGCTGCTCCAAGTCATGACTGGTGTGTGTGTTCCAGGTTTTCTCCTTTAACTGTGCCCTAGGTCTACACAAGGCCGAAGCAACCTTTTTCTCCGCTTCTTCCTCTTCCTTTATCACAGTCCAGGATTCAATTGAGAATGGTCATTTCTTCAGGGGGAAAAATATACAGAGAGAACAAGCTTGGTGTTTGTACATGCCATCTATATAAACGATATTAAAGTATCAATATATAATGATGTTACAAAAGCTGTTACATTATTGAAATTGTTAACATGAACAAAAATTAACATAAATACTGATTTTGAACATTTTGGTAATTGCATGATGTTAACATAGTTTTAATATTGTAACATACTTTTAATATATAATGTTGTATAATACTTACAAAGAGTATATTAGAATACCATTCAATATGCTTACCAATGGACTTCTGTTAATTTCTGAGTTTCATTCTACATTCAAAATTCTTGTTTTGTATTTTGTGTGTTTTATGATGAGAAGCCAGGTTTTGAAGTTCTTAACAGAACTTCTGACTGTAGTTTTCTGACTGAAACGTCTGCTACTCAAAGCAGCCCATCATTTGGGAGTGTGACTGGCTGTCCATAATGTCCAATTCGTGGTATGTAACACCCTGATTAGGTCAGTACTCCATCTGAGTGGAAGATGATGCACGGTTGAACAGATTGTTAACATTCTGTAATTGTTTTGGATCAACAGTTTCATTTAGGAATGGTTTTAGTGCGGCTTCATGATGAATTAATTAAAATTTTGCTTAAATCTTTTGGACTGGAGTATAGTAAGCACTTATTTAGCTTCTTGTTTGCAAATAAAGTAGCTTTGACTAAAGTGACAATTCAATATTTGGTAAACCGAGTCCACTTCTAAGCATTTAAAACATAAAAACTTAGCATCAGTTCATGTTATGCCTCGAACAGGAAAGCTGCAAATGTTATCCTGGTATTACTAGGGAAGGAAATGATGCTGCTGCTTTCACAAAGAAGCTGTATTGTCTTAAATGATGGCAGATGGTAGGAGGTTGGTTGGTTGGTTGTTTTTGAATGATCACTACTTAAAATGTAAGCTTGTAAACGACATCATATTTAGCCAACTCATGGCTTGGAGCATTTTGGAAGTTCTTTACAATGTGCAGCAGGGAGTTATAGGAGATGATATTGTTTTGGCAAAGCTGGAGATTTTATGAAGATCTGTTGTGTTTTTTTTTCCTTCCTGCCCAGTCCCATTGCTAGCAGTTATGAGAGCAGCTCCCGAGTGGCATCCCCACTGGACCCCAGTGGACAGTTCAATGTAGTCATTAAAGAGGAACCCGTCGATGATTATGACTACGAGACAAATATTTGCACACAAGGAGTAAGTGTGAAACAGGAAGACACGGATGAAGAAACTGATGAGTATTCTAACACTGATGATGATGATGATCCTGTCCTACAAAAATGCCTGAGGAGATACAGTGAAGCGGATAGAAATGATGGAGACTTCAAGTCTAGGAAGCGTGTGCTATCCAGTCCTTCAGGTGTTGCCAAGGCAAAAATGTTAAAATTGGAAAGTGGGAAGATGCCTGTGGTTTATTTGGAACCTTGTGCGGTTACAAAGAGTACAGTGAAGATATCTGAGCTACCACAGACCATGCTGTCCTCTTGCAAGAAAGACAAATCCGTGTTGAATACAGTACTGGATTCTTTACCAGTCTGCTTTGAAAATCACAAAGGTTCTTACTCAGACACAGCTGCTATAACTGAGGAGCTACCCATTAAAAAAATGTCTCCTGGAAATAAACTGGCACAGAAATATTCCTCAATCAAAGAGGCCCAATGGATTCTATCTAAATCACCTAATTTTAATCTTAGGAGCTCCGTAAGTTGTCAGGTTTCAGAAAAAGAGATTTGTGGAAGAAAAAAAACTGGAGTACTGAAGAATTCTGCGTCCCTGAAAGGCTCTGGTAGCAGTCAAAACTCACTGTCATCAGGTACCACTAAAAGAGGAAGGCCACGGAAACTGAAAATCACCAAGGCTGGTCGGCCACCAAAAGGTATAGGGAAACCTGTGATAACAAGCAAGAACAGCCCTGTGGGGCCTGGGAGTATCCTTCCAGATGTTAAGCCAGACCTTGAAGATGTTGATGGAGTCCTCTTTGTGTCCTTTGCATCAAAGGTAAAACCAAACTGTTTCGAATTAAATTCAACCAGTTTTTACTTAAATGCTGAAGGTATATTTTCATTTAAACTGAGTTTTAAAATGTGTGAACACCTCAGTTCTGTCGTTATATTGTCTCAAAATTAATCATGTCTGTCTTAATGACTTCTGGAAAAAATAGTGGGTTATAGGGTTCTGTATAAGATAAAGCATACTTGTTTGTTAGTTTGTATTTTGAATATTTCAGTGATACTTGATGTGACTTAGTTTGTATCTAAGGCAGTTTTTTGAGGCATATTATTCAAGGCTCTTTATGTACGTAGGAAGCTCTTGACATTCACACTGTTGATAGAGCTGGAGGAGAAGAATCACAGAATCTTCAGGCTCCCTTGTTGACTACAAATGATCCAGGTAATTTTGGGGGATTTTTTTTGTGAATGGATATTCCCCATGGTAAGAGAATTTAAAAAGGCACATTGGAAGATTAAATCATTAAGTCATTTTTTGGCACATGAAATATCTTTTATACTTTTTATATTTTTGAGAAGATTGTCAGGCAAGAATACAAGTACTGGAAAAGGAGTTGATGGAAGAGCTGAAAACCTTGAGGCATAAGCAAGTAATACATCCGAGCCTTCAGGAAGGTAAGTGTGCAGTGTATATATTGTTGTATATTATACTTGATCATGCAGAGTTGATACATTCCTACTGGGTTTAAAACTATGTATGCTTAATACAGTTGCTATCTGATTTTTGGTTACTTTTTTTAGACAAGTATTATTGAAAAATTTGCAAGTTTGTATGTACAAATAGGAGAACATGAATGGAAAACTGTAAACGTGGTTGGTTTCTCTCTTGCTACTTGTGCCAATGTCAAGAAAATCCAAGGTATTTTATGAAGGCTTTTTTGTGTGGTTTTTTTTGTTTGTTTGTTTGTTTGTTGTTCAGACTTCCAAAGTAGTTTCAGCCAGCCAATAACAATATTTTTGTTTCCACACGTTCATGTTGCAAACTAGAAGGGGTGGAGGGAAGTAAGAGGTTACTCCTGAATCTCTTACAGCAAAGAGGGTTTGTGTCACTTTATATATACCTGTGTAGAGGATGCTGAGACTTTAGGCCATGCCTGTTTTGTGATGAGTTAATCCTTGTAGAGGACAGATGGAGCTAGAAATGGAGAAGTGTTTAAGTTAGACTACTTTTCATATGTCTGATTGTCTGATTTGGCCTAGATCCAGGTTCACTATTCGCATAGGAAGACCCAGCAACGTACTTCTAGCTTGTGATCAGGTAGAAGAAAGATCAATGCTATCAAAACAGTGATGATGGTGAAAATCTTTGATGCCAGTACTGAGATTGGCTTTGGCATAGGCTTCAGAGCAACTGATGAAAGAACTGGTCAAAATTGAAGCATCGTACCTCTTGTTCTTGAGGTTCTCTGAATTTCTCATATGTGTAACTGCAGTGCTGTAGGAATTTTGACTCCAAATACTGCTGCTAGTTATGTTGGGTCCTGACAGATTTCTGCTGTGAAGAACCATGGATTATCTCCAATGGCTCATGCACTATGTGTGGTGAGATCAAACCTGTCAGTTTTGGCAGCCATTTATAGGGCTGCCTTTATATTTTAGTGTTGAAGTGATGTTTGTGTCTTTCATTTTCACAAATCATAGAATCAATTTCAGTGTTGTAGAATTGCTTGGGTTGGAAGGGACCTTAAAGATGGTTTAGTCCAATACCTCTGCTGTGGGCAGGGACACCTTCCAGTAGCACAACTTGTCCATAGCGCCATCCATAGTACATTTTCAGGGGTGGGGTATAGAATAGAATCTCTATGGAGTTGGAAGGGACCTTTAAAAGGTCATCTAGTCCACTGCCCTGCGATGAACAGAGACATCTAGGTCTAGATCAGGTTGCCCAGAGTCTGATCCATCTTTGCCTTGGAAATCTCCAGGGATGGAGCATCCACCACCTCCCTGAGCAGCATGTTCCAGTGCCTCACCACCTTCACTGTAAAATAATTTTTTCTTTTATGCAACCTAAATCTACCCTCGATAAGCTTGAAACCATTTCTCCTTGTTTCTGTCACCACAGACCCTGCTTAAGAATCTGTCCCCTTGTTTTCTGTTGCTCCCCTTTAGATAGCAAAGATCTGCTATCAGATCATCTCACAGGCTGAACAGCCCCAGCCCTCTCAGCCTGTCCTTATAGGAGAGGTGTTCCATCCCTTGGATCATTTTTATGGCCCTCCTGTGGGTATGCTCCAACAGGTCTATGTCTCTCCTGTATGAAGGACTGCACATTGCTGGCTCTTGTCCAGCTTTCTATCCACCAGTACCCCCAGATCATTTTCGAGAGGTCTACACTCAGTCTTTTCATCCCCCAGCTTGTATTGCTAATCCACAGCTTCTCTGGTGGTGGTGAATTCTCAGCACTCTCAGCGTAAGGAATTTCTTTCATACATCTAATCTAAATCTACACTCTTTTACTTCAAAGCCATTACCTCCTATCACTGCGCTCCCTGGTCAAGTCCCTCTCTGCAGTTCCTATTCTTCCTCATTAAGTATTAGAAGCTCATGATGAGGTCTTCTTGGAACCTTCTTTTGTGTAGGCTGTGAAAGAACAGCTCTCTCAGCCTGTCTTCTTGGGAGATAACCCACCTCTCAGCTAGATTGTACCCGTGTGGTATATAAGATCAGTGTTGGTGGTTGTATCATGGATGTCTAAATGCATGTTTCCTCTCCCATTATTCCAGAAATAGGTGTCCTGTTTTACAAAGACCTCACTGACATCCATGGCCTCACACATCTGTGTTGCCATATTTCAAAAATTGTGGTAGAAATCTTTTCTAGTCAGCTACTAGCAATGCTGCATGTTGCACTGAGCAAATGTTATGGTATGGCAGTACTGAAAAAAAACTCTAGGATTTGCCTCTTGGCCAGTTGAAGGTCTGTGTATTTTCCCAGTTACATCAACTTTAAGTCCTGGAGCTTGGTGCAACCTAATCAGCATTTTCGATGTTGTTACTTGTTCTTCAAAATCTCTTAGCCACAGACCATAACTAATATCTCCTTATGGTCTACTGCAAAACAGACGAAGAGGTATGGCTCCTTCCTTTCTCAAAGAAGCAAAGTGCATGTTTCTGAATGTTCATTCAACCATCTGGTTGAAGCTTTCTGGCTTTTTTGCCCTCCGTGTAGTATAGTAAATGGAAATAGCATTTTTGGCATTAACTTTGCTTTGGTTTTGTGTAATGTAGTTGAGAAGCATAAACATCTCTTGATATTCATGGATACCTGAAGCCTACAATTGCTATTGAGTTGTGAAGTTAAGAAAATGAATATCCACTGCAGCTTGCATTATGAAGTTAATGTGCTTAGTCATCAGATATAGAAAAGTATTTCTGGTTGGCTAGAAAGCCATCAGTACTTCCTGTGGAGACTAGCATAGGTAAAGGATGGATTGCAAAATGCATCTGAAGCGGTGATTGTGAAGATCTTAAAGGCATTGAGACTGCAAGAAGATGCTTCTGAAAGGTGGAAATTCAGCTTCAGCATGTTAGGAAGAATGCTCCTATTAGAGTGCTGCTGTGCTATGGAGAGCCTCTTCTACCTGAACTAATTTGAATCCCTTGTCACGTGCCTGAAAATCAAAGCACTGTTGTCTGGCATCGTGATTCAGAGAAAATTGTTGTGGAGGGAGTTCTTAATTTGCTACTGTTTGACTGCAGCAACTGAACTTAGCAGTGCGCTGGCGATGATGAGAAATTGATAGAAGTGACAGTTTACCTGTCGTGTTTAGTGATGTCCATACAGACATATTTGTTCTCTTCAGGCTGCATTCTGAAAGCAACAGAATAATTCAAATAGAGTGTCATGAAGAATCAACTGCCTGCTCTTTCCTTTAAAATCACTTTGAAAATAAATAGATGCCGTCCTGACATTTGGCAGTTGACGTGTTTTTATACAAAATGCTACGTTGCCTTACTTGTTGTGCTCATCTTTGCCATGTAGATGTGGGAATTGTATCTGTCGTTGGTAAAGGTGTTCTTCAGTAGCCACATCTGAGATTTGTTTTGCATCTGTTGTTTTTAGGCTGCCAGTTATCAAGTGTCGGTACTTGTTACTTGTAAAGATAAATGTCTACTACCAACAAAAGGTTTTTGCTTTATGTGCAGATAGCAATTCATCCGTCCTGAGCATTGTCAAGTAATACATTTTTAATTCAAAACTTGCATACTTAACACTGATTCTAAGACTTTGGCAACAGCAGCACAGTTTTGTAGGTTTCCCTTGAGGAAAGAAAAAAAAAACAAAACACACCAAAAACAACCAAAACCAAACAAAGTAAGTATTCTCTACTCCAGACTGAGCTGAGTTGGGTAGCCATATATTCTTTCACTTGCTGAATAGTAGTTCTGCTAGCTTTTGCGTTCCTCGTTATTTCTGTATCCTTACCTGATTTGCTAATTCACAAAGACACTTTTTGTGGCTAAGGGGAGCCTTTCCAACTAAGCATTTGGGGGGAGGTAAGGAAGATGTTAACAAGCAGTGAAGTGTCCAAGCCAGTGCCATTCAACAAAGCTGACTGTTTTGTTTCCACACACGATCTTCTCCCTGCTTAAAAAAAAAAAAAAAAAAAAATAAATAAATAGAAAAAAGGCTGGAGGGTTGATTTATTGCAAAGCAACAAGATGGCTGGCTAGCTAATTTCAAGCTGATCTGTAAGGACAGTGAGGGGGCAGGGGGTTGCAAAAAGCTCATGAAGAGATCTTGAGAGAGCAGAATACTGAATACAGCTTTATTGTGGAAATGAATAGAATGCTGACATTCTGATTGCTAAAATTCTGCAGAAATTTCAGTAGCAGTTAAAAAAAAAAAAAAAAACAAAAAAAAAAACCAAAAGTATCAAGTCATTCTATTTTCCTTCTATTTTCCATCTCCTTAAAATTCATACCTGTTAATTCATACCTGTTGAAGATCCATTGTAAGTAACAGTTATTAATGCTTTTTTCAGAACCCTTAAGACATGGATGAATGCTAGAAATGTCTGTATGTAATGTGAAACTTTTTAAAATAAACATTTTTTTTTTTCTCATTAACATCTTGCTGCATTGATACTGATTGTTTCCTGCAGTGGGATTGAAGTTAAATTCTGTGGACCCAACAATGAGCATTGACTTGAAATACTTGGGTGTGCAGCTTCCTCTTTCCTATTCAAATTATTCTTTGTGGAGCTATCCAGGAACAAACCCCAATTCTCCAGGTGAGTAGAACATGAATCTGCTGAGGCTGAAAGTATTATGTTGTATTGTCAGTGATCAGAGGGATTTGGGACTTGATGCTGTTCAGAGATAGTGTTCTTATTCATTAGGACAGGAATATTACACTTTCCAAAAGCAGTGAAAATAGAGAAGTCCATAATCAAAATACTTCAAAGAGCGTTTAGTTTTATATTTGATTGTATTATTATTATTATATATTTTTTTAATACAAAGCTGTCAATGAAATGTGCTTGTAAAATTACTATTTCTTGTATTAATTTATTTGGTATCCAAACAAATGCATTTTTCATTAAAATGTGACTGATTCTACTACTGGCAAATACTGTTTTTTAACAGTAAATGTGTTTGCTAAAGAAAGTGCAGGGTGGTTAATTCCAATGTCTCTCTCTTGCTTTAGTATTCTGACTGGTGTTTTCTTCCTGTACTGTTTTTGGAGCTGGTAAAGAGGCAGACCTTGAGTCTCAGACCTGTCTACATCACAAAAGAGGCAGATCCAATTCAGAACGCCCCAATCCAGCTCTGTGTCAAGGGCAATTACTTCTAGCCTAGCCTAGCAATATATAAAACAGCTACAAAGGACCCTGTTAGTATATCTACATTACACTTTAGCTCTTGGAGATGATGGATTATTTGAAAGAGCTGTCACATGTATTTCTGAAAAGAAATGAGCAATTCACTAGGACATTTGTAACAATCAGTCTTGATTTATAAACTGAGGCTAGCTTTCTTCTTTTCCAGATACTGGATTTCCTTTTGTTTCCAGAACAGGAAAGACAAATGATTTCAGAAAGATCAAAGGCTGGCGAGGGAAGCTTCATGGTGCTTCTAGAAATGAAGGTAGAAAAAGCAGAGTGGGATTAAAACAAAAGTGATGAGATGAGATGAGTGCAGATATTTCTAAGATCTTTGTCTTAATCTTGGAGAGATGCTGCAGTTCAGTTATAGTATGTGTTTTAATGAGATTTATTTTTGTTTTGAGACTCTCTTGAATATTGGTACTACTTCCATGAACAGCCAAGAATGAGCACTTACGAGGGGAAAAAAGAAACTGGAAATGATAAAACAAGCAGAATCAATAGTAAAACATATTCTGTTTTTTGTTTTCTGTTATTTCTGTGTTGGGGTGTTGCAGATTTGTTCTGGTGTTGCCAGTACGTTGTAGGATACATGTTTAGGACAAACAAAAGGAAGCTGCACAGAAACACTGATTCTTGAAGACTTTCTCTTTTTGTGAATGAATATACTTTCCTCAAAAAGAGTTGTTTGGACTGCTGGCTGTGTTTCTGATTGAGCTTATATTTGATATTTGTGTGTTGTACACAAGGAATTATATACATCTTTAAAGAAGTATTTACCTCTTCTATACTGTTTAGTTGCAGTAAGATTTAAATCTGTGTGTGTGTATACATATATATATATGTAAGATAAAGCCTGTCAGTATGCTTTCCCAGGGGCCAATTAAAATGCTTGTAATTTATTTAGGTGGCAGTTCAGAAGGTTCCTTGAAGAATCGCTCAGCATTCTGTAGTGACAAGCTGGATGAGTACCTGGAAAATGAAGGAAAGCTGATGGAAACGAGTATGGGATTCTCTTCTAGCACGCCCACTTCCCCTGTGGTGTATCAGCTTCCCACCAAGAGCACTAGCTATGTGCGAACGCTAGACAGTGTTTTGAAGAAGCAGTCCACCGTAATTCCATCCACATCTTACACGTTCAAGCCTGCTTCTCTGTCATCTACCTCTAGGAAGGCAAGGACTCAAAACAGGCAGACATCTTCAAACAGTAGAGGAAGATCATCCTACAAGCCTATACTGCCTTCGCCTTTTCCTGCCAAGCAGAAACAGAACTTTTCAGCATCAGTAGAAAAGGCTGCTAAGTCTCTGTCGAGTAGCTGTTTGACTAACCAAGCAGATGGTTTCCTGATGCCAAATCTGGATGAAAACACACTGCCAAAACAAATCAGTTTGCGCCACACACCACAACAGCAACAAGCAGCTCGTCCGCCAGGTCTGTCTAAATCTCAAGTAAAGCTAATGGACCTGGAAGACTGTGCTCTCTGGGATGGCAAACCACGAACCTACATTACAGAAGAACGAGCGGATATCTCCCTGGCTACTCTGCTTACAGCTCAGGTAGGTAGCAATACTTTTCTTTCCTTCAGTACTGTTGCGTTTTCAATTATCTGTATTTACTGAAGCTGCCTGTGGTTGCAGAAAATAAGACTGAAGCTGCTAATGAGCATGACAAAACATGTTCTTCCTTTGTGTTGTAGCCTTTATATTGGAAGTTCAGAACTGCTGTCTTAACAGCATGTGGAAATACTAACTGTATTAATAAGGTGTTGATATGAATAATTAATTATGAATTATCTCAACTTCCCTGTGAAAAGTTCTAAGTGATACAGTTGCTATTCAGTAACTACATTTCCTTATTATTTGACACTTATTTTTTTCAGTAGGGCTAACTCCAAATAAAAAAAAAAGCAGAAACAAAACAAAAAACATCATGTAACTTTCATGTCAGATGATAAACTTTTGCTTTCTTCGCAGCCCACTTCTTGAAGAGGCTGTTCAGCTGTCTCAAGTTGTGTCTCAGAATATTAAAATGTAAACTCTTCTCTATTGTATTTTTTCCATACATGTGACAAATTTTTGTGGATAACCAGACCATGTAATAGGAGGGAGTTATAATTCTGAATGAACTTGGAATAGCAGTTTCACATTTGCTTGATTTCACATTGCTAAAATTTCAAGTGTTTACTTACTATCTAAAACTTTTTCAGGCTTCTCTCAAAAACAAACCTATCCATAAAATAATACGACGACGAGCACCTCCTTGCAATAATGATTTCTGTCGGCTGGGTTGTATATGTGCCAGTCTAGCACTGGAAAAACGTCAGCCTACCCATTGCCGCAGGCCAGACTGTATGTTTGGGTGTACTTGCCTGAAGAGAAAAGTACTGGTGGTGAAGGGTGGATCAAAACATAAGAAAATTCTGAAAAAGGCTGTGCGTGGAAATCTTGTGTTGTATGGATCACAAGAAGAACAGCAAGAGGATGGAGATGTGGAAGAAGAGGGTGTGGGAGAAGAAGATGAAATGAAGCAGAAAGACAAGAAGAGAAGAAAAAAAGTGGAATACAGTGAGTATTGCTGGGTAAAAAGCAATTTCTTAAACTTCTCTGGAATCAGCTGTCTTGCCAGGAAATTTTTTTAGGTTCTAGTAGAGATCCCATTACTAAATCCAGAAATGGGAATGAGCTCTGAGAGATCTCTGCAACGCTTATCTTGGTGTAACTGACTGACAGGTAATCACACCTTTTCCCTTTTAGTAACTCTTACCTGTTACAGGCTTTTTTGCATTATTCAGTCATTTATCTTGCTCAAATAACTAGTTTCTTTTTGGTAATTTTAACTTTCTCTGTACCCTCTAAATATGTTCAGGGACTAAGTATATGAAATAATTACTGCTATAGCTGTTGGTAATCTTTACTGTTTACTACTCTTTGTCTCCCTCTTAGCAAGTAAGCATCTGGAGCTTTATTTTCAGTTCCTGTACATAACTGTATTTCACTGACTTTGGTGGAAATAGTTTACAGTGGTTTTAGATCTGTCCTAAGGTATGTTCAGAAATATGACAGAAAGTGGCTATGGACTTACAGCTTTGTTCTAGTAATTATTTTATCAGCGGTAAAAAATGATGCTATCTGGTGTTCCACTGAAGTAAATAAATTTTTATGTGTAGTTGTGTTATCAAGTATGTTTTTAGATGTTTGAAATCTGTGTTTGCTGTCTTTTAAGATCCCTGGCTCTGTAGTGGTTTTTTAATCTGCTATCTTAGCACAGCTTGGAAGCAGTGATTAGCATGGAGTCTTTCTCATTTTCATTTCCTGCATTTGTGGACAAATCCCTGGTGGCTTCTCACTAGAATTTGAGACAAGAGAAGATACCAGCATTATCTTCTTAATTCAGTGTGAATTAGTTACTGGTATATGGCTAGACTTTAGACTGAAACTAAAATTTCCATTACTGCCATGCTACATTAATTTTCACTTGTGTAAATTACTGGGTTTTTAAAATATATCACTGTTTTTTTTTTTTTTTTTTCCCAGCTATCTGTGACTCAGAGCCAGAAAAGCCTCTTAGGAATTGTCCATTGTGGGTAAAAGTAGAAGGTGAAATAGATCCAGAACCTATTTACATTCCAACACCATCTGTTATTGAACCAGTTAAATCTACAGTCCTGCCTAACCCAGAAGTTGTGCTTTCTGGTAAACATAGATCTTCCAGTGGAGTGAAAACAGGCAGAGTGTATACTCCTAAACCCAACCCCGTGGTAAGAAGTGGGATAATGTTAATTCTTTTTTTCTTTTTTTAAGCTGAAAATTAAAGCAAACACTGCCAAAAACTTCTGTATATTTTAAATAAAATGAGATAAAAGGCATGTTGATAAGCTAGGGTGAATTGACACATACATGTATCTATTTAACTACGTTAGTCTTCTGTTGAAGTAAATACAGTAAATACTGTAGCAGTGAGAAAAGTGGTAATGATTTGCTGATGACCTCTTAAATAATGCAGTAATATATGCTGTTTATGGGTAAAATGATTACTTGTCCTGTAGTGTTTGTAGAAGTTACTATCTACAGGATGTAGCCTTGTTAATAACTTGTGGAAAAAGTGTGAATAGTGACTCAGAGGATCACTGTGATTGTAGAAGCTTTTGTGTTCTTGTTTGTGGCTTCATTGCCGTGTGCTAGGAATCTGTCTTTGCCTCTCCTCTCCCCTCACCTTTATCTAACACAAGCAATAGCAGTCATAGAGGAAGAATAGTAGTGAGGTTGAGTCTAGTTATGTTTAAAGAAGAAAATGTGTCAGAGTTGCTGCTTAATATATATCAGATATGGTTAAGTGGTGAATGACACTTCAGGACTTCTTTCTCTGTTGAGAAGAGAATTTAAACAGGTAGGTTTTTTTCCTGTTTTTCTTCCTCTGTGTAATTTGGGAGCAATATCTGTAGACTGAGCTATGGTATTATAGTGTGGCTTGGATTGGAAGGGAGATTGGTAGATTCTCTAGTTCCAGCCCCTCTAGCTGGGGTTGCTGCCAGATTGTAACATCAGATCAGATTGTGTAGGGCCCCATCCAACCTAGCTTTGAAAGCCTCCATAGGTGGGGCAAGAAGAAAGATTCAACTTTAAATACTTCTGATATTTTCTACTGTAGCGTTAATACTCTTTTAGAAAGCAAAAGTGTTTTATAGATCTGGTGCACATCCAGAATGGAGAGGTTGTATTTTTTTTGTGTAGATTCGAGAGGAGGACAAGGATCCTATCTACTTGTATTTTGAAAGTATGATGACTTGTGCGAGGGTTCGAGTATATGAGCCTGGGAAGGAGGAAAAAAATCAACAAAAAGACCAAAAGGATTCACAGAGTTTTCTTGTAAAGGTAAGAATTTACAATGTGTCCAGCACGTATCCTGCAACAGGTAGGAATATTGGAAATGGGAAGAAAACTTTCTCGCAGGAGCTTCCACATAACGTGGGGGCTTGGCTTTTATTTGACGGTGATGTAGTGACAGGGACCAAATCAGCATGCAGTGATGGTCAGCTTTCCTTGTTACTGTGATATGAATTGTCTTGTCTGTGGAAATTCCTGGCTGCAAAACTCATTACTGCATGAGTCTTAAAATTGCTGTTAGAAGATGAACGTTTTACTTCTGTCAAAGTTAAAATGCTTTCCAGGGTTATGGATGATAGCATGATGAACTAGTGTATTTTGTGATGTGATTTTATTGGGGAAGAGGAGAGACAAGGATAATATTTTGTACACTTTTTTTCTTCCCACAGATGTATGAACAAGGACTTCCGTCTTCAAAGAAGGAATCTTCTAAGAAAGAATTATCTAAAAAAGAGTCTTCTAAGAAAGAGTCTTGTAAGAAAGAAACCAGTGAGATAAACAAAGACCCTGAAAAATGTGGAGGTAAGAGCTGAATCTTGAGTGTAAGTGAGTGTGTTGATAGTTTTTTGGCTTAAAAAAAAAAAGGAACTATTGATGAAATGAGTGCATTTGCCGTGGGAGTTTCTACAATTGCCAATAAAAATCTTATGATGTGCTTGCAGTTTCTTGTTTTCTTAATCAGTCGTGTGTCATGTGGGAGATACAGCAGGCTAACTACCAAGTACTTGCCATGGTTCCAAGATTGAAATGATTGGTGTTACAGTAGCTCATTCAGAGTAAAAGATTGCATTATACAGCAGACTTGTATATAAGGATGCTAATTAGATACCTAACAAGGAATGGAAATCAGAGGGTTCCCTCCCTACTTTCATTAATTTTTAATTACTGAAGAATTAATAAGTTTACAAGTGGTATTGTGAATCTTCGACCCTCGTGTTCTCCACTTAGAACTGTATGGGTCAAAGAAGTGCCTCTACTCTATATGGAGCTGTTTGATGTTGAATTATTTTAGTTTGAGTTGAAAGGTTGAATTGAGTTTTTGCACTACATTATGTATGAATATGGCTTTGAATTTGTAACTCATGAAGAGGGAGGTTAGGCATCTTTATCTCTTTTTGTTTGAAATGGCCCAAATCATGTCGCAGTCCTTAAAATGAGACGTACTCAAGGCATTCTATCATCCACTAATGAAATACGGCTGCCTTTTTGAGCTGATTTTTTTTTTTTTTTTTTTTTTCCCCCACTGTTTAATGTATGCAACAGCATTCTGTGTTTAAGGATCGGAATGGAAAAATAATACAACTAGTTGAAAATACTGATGAATTGGTAGGTCAAAATTAAAAGGACCAGGACACAGGGCTCAACATCCTTACAGTTTTGCAAAAAGTGACGTTGGATCTCCAATGACAGCAAAAGGTCGTGCTTCTGTTAAACATCTTCCACAAAAGACAGTTCTGCTAGTGGCTTGTCTGTCAAAAATAGCATTATAGGACACTGGTCCTTTTCTGACTCCAAGAGAAAAGTGCCATCTCTGGAATATAATCAGTGATGCTTTCCATTGCGTATTGATGTTGCTTGGAGATGTTACATCCACACACTGAAACAGTCCAGCTTTGTTTAGCTTGTGAGATGCAACGGGATACAACGTGAGATGGTATGGCTACAGAGAATTAACTGTGAGAAACAGTTACCTTAGTTTTGCATTTTTGCTTGCTTGTGAAGCTCTGCAAGGGGAAGTGATGTTTTGAACAGTTCTTTTTACTTGCCCTGCAGCTGAGACAAGGGTGGAGGTGGGCAGAATAAAACTGTTTGAATATCCAGGTGATTAAAATGCCACAGTATTGCAGAAACCTATTTCAATTCTTTCTCAGAGAAAAGTTCGTGGTCTTCCCATAGTGAGGGGGACTCTTCCTCCGCCTCCTGTGTTCATCCCACCACTTCATGTGCACCAACCAAACTTATCGAGATTATCTCTGACTGCAGCTGGAATGAAGATTGCAGTAAGATATTGACCATCCTATCACAGCACATCAACAGTAACATGCCACAGTGCCTCAAAGTGGGTAGCCTCATTATTGAATTGGCTTCGGAACACGAGGCTCAGGATGCAAACAACCCTCCTGTGTACTCCTCCAGAGTGAAAATTTCAGTGCCATCCTACCAGGACAGTGATGAGAAGCCTGAGTCACCTGACTTGGAGACTCCCGATAGTGGAGTGCCGTCATGCAAAAAAGCAGAAAATGTAAAGCTCTTTCAGGCTTACACATTGGACAAGCTGCGGGAGAAGTTGCATGGGGGCAAAGGCTTGCCTTTTTATGCAGGGATTTCTCCTGCAGGAAAGCTGGTTGTCTACAAGCGCAAAGCTAATATGAGCCACTCAGGCTTGATTCAGGTGGGTCCCTCTGCCTTTACTGTGGAGATTAGATTCAGTTTCATCCAGTATCCTAGAACCCCCTAAAGAGAAGAACAAACACTCTCTTAATTTGTCTTACCTAGTCTTTTGACTGTCCAGACAAGATATCTTCATATCCAGTGACATTTTTGCCTCTCTGTAACCTTGTCCCTTTCAACAGGAAATCTGATTCCAAGTCTGAAGTCTGGTGATTTAGGTTGGTCTTTTGGCCTTTTAGGTCTTGGTGGCCCAAGCACAGAATCTTTCTCAAGATCTTGGAGCTTTCGAAAACTCTCTGCAGATGCATTTGGCAGATAACACTTCTGAATAAGTGGCTGTCAGAAGCCACAGAAAGAATAATTTCAGAGGAGGTGTGTACACTGGGACAAAACTTCAAAAGGAAACTGTAAACACTAAATTGCTTTTGATTCAGTTTGCTAGTGTTGACGAATAGCTTGTTGTCTTCTGAGTGTATGTTAGTGATGAAGAGACTTCATAAAATTAAGAGCGTGTCATTTCTCTGCAGTCTCGTGCTGCCAACTTGCTGTTAGGAATTGCTGGAAGGAGCTGTAGGGCTAGGATCTCTTCTTTTTCAAGGATATTTTGTGGTAGTAACACCACTCGCACTGGAGGTATATGAATTAGAAAATGAGAATTGAGTTCATTTGTGTAATGCTTTGCAGGTGCATTGCCCTCACAAAGAGAAGCTCGCAGAAAGAGCAACTTAGGGGCAGACGTCCTGTTTTAAAGAGTAAAGGCCTTTTTCCTTATGGTGTGTTAAAATAAGTGGCTTTTAGAGGTTACTACTGAACAGCCTGGAAGTAGAATGCAGTACTACCAACCAAATCAATATGAAATTCCTGTTGACCACTAGGCTTACAGCCTGATATCCAGAAAAGTTTGTTTCTTCTCTCAGTTACAAGTGCAGCTCTGAATGTGAAGTTAGTCAATTCGTGGTACAGTACAGACAAGGAAAGAAAGCTGACAAAGCTTTTTCAAAGTCCTTAGAGTTTTGTCCCGATGTATATGTATGTGTTCTTTCTTCTGTAATGCTAGGTGATAATAGGGTAGAGAATTTTATCTAAAATCGTCCTCATATTTGGAAAACCACTCAACTCAGGACTGCAGTGTATGTAGGAGAGGTAAAACGCATGCTAGCTTCCCTCTACTTGATTTTAGTGATTTCTCATGTTCCTTTGGACTCTGTGTTTCTGTTTGAGAGTCTTGAGTAGCATCTAATATCTGTATTACAAAGATACAGCAGAGTTGCTTGAAGATACTCTGAGCAGCAGGGAAGTTAGCAGTTCCCAGTCTGAATTGTAATGTGGGTCTTTGTTTTTGTTTTTTGAAAAGGACGCTTGGAAGTCCTGTGGAATGAAACACCTCTCCAGAGGTGGTGAATTAGCATTCTTTTCACAAAATTTCCCTTTTCCACTTTTTTCAGGTTAATGATAAAAGGTATCCTCAGGCCAAACTGCTTTTGGGACAGATGGGGGCATTACATCCTGCCAGTCGGCTAGCTGCTTATGTCACAGGCAGGCTGCGACCCACAGTACTTGATATCTCAACCCTCAGTACTGTGATCTCCAAGGTAGCATCCAGTGCTTCTGGGACACCATCAGTCCAGGTGCCCACAACATCAGCTCCCAAAACTACATCTTCCATCAGCACTACTTCAAACCCCAGTGTGACGACTCTGAAAGCTCTTATCCCACCACTGAGACAGATAGGTAGGTTGGAACTTATTACTGTATTTTAAATTGCGTGAAGGTAAAATAAAAAGCAAGTATACAGCATTGCTGTTGATTTCTTTGCAACAGTGCCTGCTGCCTTTGGCTGACTTGCCAACTAAGCTGCCTCTGCAATAAATAACCTCTCTAAAGCAGAAAGTTTTATTTTGACTTCAGAATAAGACTAGAGGTGTTGACTTTTAGTTATTTTACTAACAATACTAGAGCATATTTTCAAGAAACAAGGAAGAAGGGATACAGATACCCATTGAGCTTCAATTTTTTGTTTTGAGAGTTTTCTTACTATGATTTTTTGATTGCTTCTCATCAAGCATTGAAATTAAAATGAGGGTTTAAAGTGCGAAAGGATTGCTCCGAGCTGTAGTTCCACAAAGTTTGTTTTTCTGATGGTGTTGCACTTAGAATTGGAACTCATGTGACCAGCAAAGCTGCATGAAGCAGCGCAGTGAAATACAAGACGTCCCAAGTCTGGATTAGCAAAAGAACAGATGTGCAGCCGATAACTACACTGGCCTGCAGTCTCATTGGATTTCACAAGCTAAACAGGGTTGGACTTAGCACACTTGACATTTTTTTCTTTATTTTGTTAGTTTTTTCTTTTTCTTTTTTCTTTTTTTTTTTAAAGGAAGGAATATCAGGAAAAGCATTTGGTACTTGTATCTAAGTTGGTACTGAAGTGCTTACCCAGCATGGCAAGAGATAAATTTGCTTTTACATACCGTGTTTAGCATGATTTTAGGCAACAACAACAAAAAACATCGAAGAAAAATCTAGTTCCCAGCCACACATTTCTCCCATCTTCACTAAATACCTGAAGAAGTTTTGCAAGAGAAAAGGATGTTACCTGTGTCCTGGCAAAATGTTAACTTTGGTGAATTGCTCTGTTTCCTTCTGCCTAAATTTTCCTTGCATTGTAAATAGCTGTGTTGTTTTTCTCTTCCTGTGGTAAAACCAGTTGTGTTATGTGTTTATGCACTATTGAAAAGGTGGCTGCATTTCACTGATGGGTGAAGTGATCATTGCATATATGTGTAAGTTGGGCTTACGCAATGGTCTCTGCATTGTTGTACTATGTATTAGGTTCTGTTTCTGATCTGTAGGCATCTGGAGTGATACAGATATGGTATTCTGGTCCTTGGAGAGCAAGGGATGAAGGGAAGCTTCTCAGTAGTGATTTCTTCCTATTGGTTGAATTTGTCCCATGCTCAGATGCACAAATGTCACTGCAAAAAGGAGGAGGCAGGACAAAACTCTCTTCCTCCTTTCTCTGTGGCTTATATACAGTCAGAAAATCAAGAAGCAGTGAAAAGAGGAACATGGAAAAAATTACTACAGGAAGAATTGGAGATTTAGAACGTAGATTGAGCCTGTTATTGCACCTAGCCATTTGTTTCCTCGTACTGAAATTATAATTATATATTCATAATTTCATGATAAAGAACAACACCTCAAGACCTAATTTTTTTGTATGACCAGGAGGAGATGCAATAGAATACGTGCATATTCCTAATATGTAAGTCATATTCAGGACTGCTGTGAAGGTTTCAGGTTAATTACAGGGTGTTCTTAAAGTGAATGGAGACCCAAATTCATGATGAAATGACAATTGTTGTGCCTGAAGAACAGCAAAGAGAAATCTATTAAAATTTTGACCTGCAAGTTTTTATTTGCAGCTGCTCGACCCTCACCTGGTGGTGTGTTCACAAAGTTTGTGATGAACAAGGTTGGAGTTCTGCAGCAGAAGATTCCTTCAGTGAGCACATGCCAGCCTCTGTCAGGGCCACAGAAGCTCAGTATCAGTCCTACACCGATAATGGTTGTCACCCCTGTGGTTCCCACAAGTCTGTCTCCAGCTCACTGCACTATCTCTCCTGGGGTCACTACAGCCACCACCACTTTTCCTGTAACTGTAGAAAGTACCAGTGTGGCACCATCTACTGTGTCTGCTCCTAGCCAAACAAGAGCTAGTGAACCTGCCTCCTCTCCTCCTGCAATTACAGTCACAGGTGCTTCTGCAACACCTGGAACCAACACTTGCACCACTTCCTCATCTGCCACTCCTACCGCCACTGTGAACGTAACCAAAGCAGCTGTGGTTGCTGCCCCAGTACCAACTCTGTCACTCCCTACTGTAGTAACAGCACCAACAATTACTTGTCCTGTTATCACAACATCCCCTTCTACAGTTGTTCTAACAACTGCAGTGGCTACGTCTGTGGTGACCACACCAGCTTCCTCTGTCAGCTCTGTTCCGATAATACTGTCAGGAGTGAAGTCAGCTCCTTCAATAGCTCCAAAAAGAGGTAAGACTTGTCTGCTTCAGTGTACTGTTGCAATTGCTCGCTTTTTTCTTTCCTCATTCATTGCTGGGACATGGTATGCAATTGCAGAACCCAATTTAAGTATAGACTCACATGTCTCACCGTTATTTCCAAAATGGAATAAAAAATGTAGTTTTGTAAATGGCTTGTTTTATTCCAACCTAGCCAAAACTACTAGAGAAGGGAAAAAAAAAGTCGTTATCTGGTCGGTATCTGCTATGAAACGAGCTTGAAGTCTCCCATTGTTTCTTGGCTTGTAGAAATGTGTAGCACAGTTATTGCTGTGATTGCTATGATTTCACCGTTGGTATAGAATTGAAGAAGTAGGTGTAGAATTACCTTTTCAGTGTTACTTGAGAGTTTTCTGAGTCATGGTTGACAACTAGACATGCATCTAAAGATCCAGTTGTTTCTAAAACATCTGTGCTTGATTTAAGAATAATGCCTGATTTATAGTATGTTTTCTTAACCTGATTTTATGTAACTTTTGAAAATGTTTTAGAAGATGCTACTCCTCAAGTGCAAGCTGTAAATAAGACTCCTCCAAAGATACCTCCTGGAACAGAGAAACGTGTAGGACCACGACTGTTGTTGATTCCGGTGCCTCAGACATCCCCTGCTTTGCGACCATTAAACAACGTGCAACTTCCTCAGAAACAGAGAATGGTTCTTCAGCCTCTCAGAAGCCCTGGTGGTGTGAACCTGTTCAGGCATCCTAATGGACAGATAATTCAGCTTGTCCCACTGCAGCATTTTCGAGCTCCGGGTGCCCAGCCCAGTGCCCAGCCTAACGTGCAGCAGCCAGTGATGTTCCGCAATCCAGGTACAAAGTCCAGGGTTTCTTTCTTGGCTGACTGTTGTGTTACTTAGATTTCTCACACCGTGTTTCTATCTGTGATGCTTATCATACTGACAGTAAAAGAACAGGGTGTGAGTAAAGACTGTTAAGTATAATTACCCAGAAGTAATGCAGCTTCAGCCCATCTAAGATGCAGAAAGTGCAATTAGCAGTTAAATTACCAACACTTGGGAGTTCTTCACAGCAGGTGAAAGGGTCCATGTGCAGCAAAGGAGCCCTTGTCACTGTATTATCACTTAAATTATCTCCTAATTCAGAAATCATACTTGCTGGAGATGCTTTTAAAGAGAACAAGCTGTTAGCTATGTCTCATTGGACTGAAGTTCTTTCTGATCTGAGGACTTGGCCTGTTACAGGAGAAACTTGCTGCCAGTGGTCTTATTTTTCTTGTTTTAAAAGGAGTTTTGAGTATCTAATCAAGTGCACTGATGGGTTTGTTAAGTTGGAAAAGATTGTGGTATAATCACGTTATTTTGTCATATTTTTTCTCTGTGGAAGTTTTTACTGGAAGAAGAAAGAAAAAGATTAAACATTCGTCTTTTACTTAAGAGTAATCCCCATTTCCCTGTTTTCTGTAAGTGGGAAAGAATAAAATGGAAAGAATCTCAGCAAAATACAGTGCTTTCTTCAATTAAAAAAAAACGATGCTTGAGCTTACCATTACATCTGTTCATTCCAGAGTGACCACCTCATTATTTTTTAAGGAGATGTTCTGTATAAAAACTGAACAGTTTACTTTATGCAGCATCCACTTTTTCACTGAGAAATTGTTATGATGCTGGTTACATTACAATCTATGAGAATGCTGGCTGCTTCTGGTACAGCATCAAGTGCTAAAAGAAAATCATATGGGCAAGTATAAGCTGATATTTTCTTTCCTTCACAGGATCTGTTGTAGGAATTCGGTTGCCTACACCTGCTAAGCCTCCTGAGCCACCTGTATCTTCTGCTTCCTCTGTGTCTTCCACTCCTTCTGTCACAAATTCAACTGTACAAACTGCAGGACCCAAGTCATCCTCTAGGTCCACTCCAGCTACTCAAGCATCTTCTCCTTCTCCTTCAGTAACAAGATACGTGTCACAAACAGGCGCTGTGACTCTGAAGATCTCACCTGCTACTACTAATGTGACAAATCAAACCACCACTGAATCAAAAATAACTAGCAACTCAGGTGTTCAGCCATCTTCGAATGGTAATGTCTTACCTTTACAATCTGGTAGTTTTGCTTTACTTCAGCTCCCAGGACAGAAGACTGTACCAAACTCCATTCTTCACCATTTTGCATCTCTTCAGATGAAGAAGGACTCCAAGAAAATAAGCCAGAAAGATGACTCAGGTGCTGCTCAGCAAGCAGAAACAGAGAAGGATTTGCACGCAGAGGAGAGTGAAGTTGCAGAGTCTGAGGCCGCAGAGTCAGGTGGCAAAAAAGAAGAAAAGGAGGTGTCAGTAAACAAGTCAAATAATGTTGAAGGATCAGTGTCTCAAACAATCACACCTGTTGAAAGTTTCACTGCTTTAGAGGCATTTGAGAAGGATTCAAAGGTGCTTGAGGGTTCTGGTGATGATGGCCCCTCTCTTCAGAATGATGTTTCCACAGATGTTATATCTTCTGACCATTCATACATCAGTGAAAAGCCAAATGATGAGGAAGCAGTCACAGATGAGAAAAAGGATTTGGTCTGTTCTGAAAATGTAGGGGCTGTTTCAACTAACTCTGAAACAGTTTGTGAATCATTAGAATATTCTCTAGTTGCTCCTCTGAATGATGCACATCCACAGGGTCTCAAGGATCAAGAGGCTGTACAGTTGAAGAATCATGGAAAAGACCAAATACATGCTGAATGGGAAGATAAACCAGTTAAGGAACAGGAGGGTGAAGTGCAGGCACATATGAAGGAGAATAACAAAGCAAGTTCTGGGCAGTCATGGAGGCAGCAAGAGCAAGATATACAGCTGGAGAACAAAAAGGAACAGACAGGAACTGAACTGCCGCAGAACAAAAAAGAGTTCCAGGATGGTCTTGTGCAGCCGAAAGTGGAAGAAGAGTGCAAGGCCTATGCAGAAGCAGAAAGCTTAAGAGAGAAAAAAACAGGCAAGTCTGAAATAAGTTCTGCAAAAGAGCAATGTAATGCTTTGGGAGATAAGCAGGTAATAAGTACTGTGGAAGGCAGAACCAACATAGCCACGCAGGAAAGCAGTAAAAACAAAGAGCAAGGTGCTGTTGATTCTCAGGAGGAAATCAAAGCAGTTGAAGATACTGTAATACCTGCTAACAGTTCCTGGAGCAAAATATCCAGCATTGCGCCTGTTTCAGAAAACAAAAGTGAAGGAGCTAACGAAGCTGACAGATCTGATATAGGTGACTTCATGATGCCTGGACAGAAGGCACAGGAACCCAGGCATCACAAAAAGAGTTCTATGCCCACTGCTGATATAACTGATTATATGGAAGAGGAAGAAGATGATGATGATGATGATGATGATGAAGATGAAAAAACTGATGATTCTGCTGATGAGATGCTGGATGGTGCTTCTGATTTCTTAAGTGAAGAGGAAATAGATGTTGAAAAAGTGGTAAGTATTTAACTGTTTATGAAGGGACTTTTTTTAATTGACCAACTATCATGTCTGAACCCATGGATTTGAAAGAAACAGTACAATTGTGTTCTAGGCTTCAGTTTCTTTAGAAATCTTAGATATGGCTTCCAAGTTTCTGACTTTTCCTGTCTTTTCTTTTTTTAATGAGTAGCATTAAGTGGCCTTTTAGATACTGTTTTTCAGTCTGAGTTACATTGAAACAGCTGTAGTAGAACTGTTGCATGTGATGTTGGTATTGTATTGACTAAAGCAACTTGGTTCTGCCTAATATGACATAGGATTCTAAAATGTGCTAACCAGTCTGGTATTTCTCATATTTTAAGCTGTTTCCTTTTACTCAGCTTTCATAGTTCTTACTAGTCAACTTTTGTTTCTGGAAGGAATGCTCAGATTGTTCCTTGAATTCCCCTTGAGCACTGAAAGCTGTCATTCTGTGTTTAGTAGAAAGGAAACTGGCTACAGAAGCCACAGAATAAGGGAAGTGATGTGGTTAATATTTGTAAGGTATGTTTACATTTTAATGCTAGTAGAGTTTCTGTCTGATTTCATTCAGAAGCTGAAACAATCATACACGTAACTACTTCATGTATTTTTGGTGTATCAGAAATAGTGTACTGTTTGTTAAAAAACACAGAGCTGGGTTTTTCTGATCAGTGTAAATGGACGTAAGAAATTTGCCTTTTTGGGGGATGGGATAGAAGCAGAAAGAGGTGAAAGGGGAGAAGAATTGGGGAGTAAATCAAATAAAATATGATAGACTTTATTAGTGTTCTCAGAATGTGAAGCTCTAGGTATGTAATTCCAATTATGTAAAGTTCTTTTATCCCTTCTCTATTAACTTATGTCTACTATTGAAAACCAAATTAGACTTCTTCCTCTTATAATGATACCCAGACTAACTCAGTTGAACCAGCAACCACAGCTTTTGAAGAATGTATTTTATTAAACAGAAAAAATAGACAAACCAATTGGTGTACCAGCTCACAATTTTCGGGTGTGATAGTAGCATCCCAGCTGCATGAAGATGATGAAAATGAAAGCATCTCTGATTTTTGGAAGCTCTTCCAATTTGCAAAACTGAGCCGTTGCTGTCTTGTGTTGAGTGGGGTGGTGACAGTGTGACAGTTCTGTATCTTCAGCAGTGTTATCATTAAGTTTAGAGAACTACAGCTCGTAGTTGTCAGTTGCCCAATAAATCCTTCAGACAAAGTAGTCTTAATTATCTGTTGTTTACCAACAGATAATAAATACAGTGTCTTGGTCACAGAGCAGCCTGTTGCCAGGATTGATGTTTTAAAGATCTGGTTTTCTTCTGTCCTCTGAAAGAATGATAAAACTAATTATCAGATATTCTAAGAAGAATTTGTTTTAGAAGAAGTGCATTTTGCATATTTTGGAAGTGATCAGTACAGTTCAGGGAACCATATAAGGTATTTTCTAAGCATTTACTATAAGTTTATACAAACTTGATTAAACTAGCTTTAGTTATAGAGCAGCAAGGCTGGGCATTGAGATCTTGAAGAGAAATTTTAAAAGCAGTTCAGAATTTGGGTGAATTCTTGATGTGTCAGTGTGTGCTGCCTGCAGGTTGAGTTAATATGTCAAATGCCTACTGGAGAATTCAGTTTAAATCTAGATGAGCAAGTCTGTAGTCTTTTGCACGGGGTGCTTGTTGATAAGAATATATTTTTCTCAATAAGACTTGAAGCAGCCAGGAAGACCAGTTTGGGAGAATTGCAGTTAGGTATTTGTATTTATTTATTTATTACTACTGATGAGGTCTTCAGTAGATCAACAGAATGAGGAAAGTACTTCTTGATTGACCATTCCCTTTCCTGTGCTCCTGAGATGTGCTGGTTATGGTTGTTTCTTATTTCTTGAGGAAGATGGGCTGATTATCACTGGTGGCCTGAAAACACAGAACTAAAGTAGGAGTATGAAAGTGGGTTAGTGTTAAGCCTTTTGCATTTCTCTGTGTAGAATTGCTTCTAAGATTATTCCACCTGAAAGACCCCAGAAGAGTTGGAGCTGCTCAACTCTTAAGAGTTACACTCAAGCTTTGTGGTTAATATAATTTGTAGAAGCTTAGAGAAGATTTCTAAAGAGTGGTTTAGGGATCTGAACAAACATCTTCCTCAAGAGAAAATGGCGCTAGTTAAAGTGGCATTTCCATAACAGTGAGTTGTTTAAGTTTATGCTAGTTCTTAAGGTTGTGAAGACCCAGTATTGAGCACGTATTCGGAGCAGTAGTCCTTTGTAAAGGACTGCAGATACCTGAGTCCAGTCCTTGTTAATGAGTAGACAGGTTTTTCAAGGTATTTTTATTGCTTCTTATGGAGGAATGTACAGGGTAGTAATTTTGTTTCAAGAGACAAGTATACTTAAAATATAGTTATCCAAGGTAGAAATCCAGGCTTTTATATTGGAGACCTTCAGCCCATTCAGGAAAAAAAAAAATAAATAAAAAATTGCTGTAATACTCCTCTAGCAAGAAGTTATTGTCCAAAAGCATTCTTACCATTGTAGTGAACCTCTTTATTTTAATTTACCCATCCTTGTCAGGAAAGTTTGGACAGCTGTGTTGTAGCAGACGTTTCTTTGGTTTTGGCTTATGCCTCCTCCCCATAATAAGTTTTACTGGGGAGACACTGGGGAAAAAAGAGAATGCAGCCATGAAAGAGAGAATACAAAAACTCTTAACAGAAGCAGGCTGTTCAGCAAACCTTTTGAGTAGTTGAGAATTCTTAGTTACATTGCAGAGCTTCAGACAGTGCCTCAAACGACAGCAAGAATATGCTTCACGTAGACCATTTGCACTCTTGTTGGGATAGTGCTTACAGGACAGGCTGCGTTGTTATTGCCTGTCAGACTGGTTGAAGTCAGTTTATATGAACAGATAACAGCATGGATTTTATCTGTTACGTTTAGCTGTTAGAAACACAGAAGCACAGTGTGCATGCATCTCCACTAATACTTCTGTTTAGTGAAAATGCTGACCAATCTGTCACTACTAGTTTGGAATCTGGGCTGATTTTAGGTATTCAGGAAGTAGTGCTAAAAAAAATCCCAGAAAACTCTGGTGAGATTCAGGATGATTGCTACTTACCTGTATTTTAGCTGTCACTGTTTTGGTTTTTGTTTTGTTTTGTTTTTTAGTAGGTTTCCCTGTGAGGTTTTCATTGCAGTAGTGACTTTCTTGCTCCTAATTTTGCACGTTGATGCCCATCAGCTTGTTGCCTCGTGCTAGCTCTCTGCACTTAAGAAACTCCTGTAGAATTCTCTGCTCAACAAAAAGATGAGCTCCTCAAGATGGGTATCTCTGCCCTTTTTCATTTTTTTTACCTTGAACTGCATCAAGAGAAGCCTAGGGGTGATGATCCTCTGAGGTTTGGTGGTATGAATAAAACCTTTTAAGTATATCATTGCAAACAAACTAATCAATGTCAGGACCTTTTTTTTTTTTTTTTAATAAGTTCTGGTGCAGTCTCTGAGACATGATGTTAAATGCCTGCTTTCCAAGTCATTACATTAAACGGCTGCTTGGCCTGACCTATGTCACAAATCATGTGTGAATTGTTCATGAGTGGTTGTTTGTTTAAGCTAAGACTTATCAGGAGTTGTTCTGATAGTTTAATGCTATGGATAATAGAGTCCTATAGCCTTGTTTAATTTGCTAGTGTAAAAGTAGCCTCTCGTTGCCTGGCAAGGTATTTTCTTCAGAATGTTGTAGTAACTCAGTGGTTCTTAAAACTGTGACAAACCATTACAAATGATGGTAGCACTGTAAGTTTAATAAGCTCAAGTGATATGCTTTTGGATGATCTGAGGTTTAGCAAATTCTGAGGTGTCCAGAGCTTTTGATACAGGTGTGTCACATGTGAGAACTGCAGACACTGTAGAGTACAAGGCAGATCCAGAAATGAAGGATTTCCTCGGGTAGTTTCTAAGGACATCTGTTATCTACCTTCCTTCTTATCACTGTCACACAAGACCCACTGCCATTAGGCAATTTGGTGTTCAGAGGGAAGTAGGCTGACAGATGCAGAAGAAGAGCAGACATAAAGAAGAATGTCCTTAGAAACCAGCATTGAAGTGCTGAGAGGGGAAAAGTGCTGATGTTTCTTTAGCAACTTAGACTTTTAGTGCAGGATTGTTCCTTTTGTGTCCCCATTTTTTTTAAGGTCAGAGGCCTTTAGAAGCTTTATAGCTGCTGGAATGCACTGAGGATAACTTCCCAGTACAGATAGAAGGCCCAGTCAGAGGAGATATGTTGCTGGACCTGTTGTGCACCAATGCAGAAAGACTTAACACAAAGATCAAGACTGGAGTTACAGTTTTAAACTAGAAGAGGCTCAGGTTTTGAATACTGTTTTTCTAGTTTAATAATATGTAAGAAGTTTCACCATGAAAACAACTCTAGCTGGATCATTTCTCCCAACCCTTTGGTTAACCCAAGGCAACTTGTCAGCACTCAACAGCTTTACCGTGATAACGGTTCTAATAGAAGTTAATTTCATGGGTGTCTTTTTTTCTCAGTCTGAATCTTAGCATCTTTAGAGTGACTCTACAGAAACCCCCTTTCCTGCACAGCTTCACCCTCTTAAGAGAAACTCTATGCATCTCTTGCATGTAGAATCACAGGATAAAATTGGAACGCTAGAGAAGATATCTGTGGGTTTCCAACTACAAGGGAAGTTTTATGAATGACCAAGGGGAGCAAAAAAGAATTAGAAGTGCTCATAGAGAATTTAGAGGAAAAAAAAAAAAAGGCTGTGGAAGCAGCTATGTGTTCTTGTTTCCTGTTGAAGCTCCACAGAAGGTCCACTTCTAGGAAAATGGTGTAATTTTAGTATCTTCCAACTTCTAATTAGTTTTGTTTTGTTTTGCTTTCCCTTCCCTCCTCTCTTCCCTGTTAGTAGACCTTAATTTCAGACTCAAGTTTATATTCTTCAGTTTTGTGACCTTGTTCAAATGCATCATTCTTTGCTTTTCAGTTGGGCAAATGGAAATGCAGTTCTGGCTTGACTGAAAGGCAATTTGGATGCATCTGTCACCGAGCGACTTGATTTAAATCAAAATGAAAAAACATTCACTGAAGCTGAATATTGACAAAGGTTGTAACAAGTAGATATAAATGTGAGAAGCTGTTGAAAAGTTGCTGTCTGTATGGATAAGTGATATTTGTCAAGTTAGATTTTTTTATGGTAGGACTTGAAGTTTCTGGAAGCATACAGACCCACTTTCCAGGCATGCGGCAAAGCTGCACCCTGATCACAGGCAGTATGTGTGAGCTATTAAAATACATAGGGAGAAGTGAACAAAGGTCTCATCTGGGTCTCATTTTCAGTAGCCTCCATGTTCTGGATCTCAACTGCAGGCAGTATGTGGTTGGGCCTTTCCAGGTCCCAGCCATATGGTATCTCTTGACTTCATTCTTGCGCTGTCTACCTTGGGGAGCAGTGGTAACAGAGCTCGTGACCAGCCCCACAAGTTCCAAGGGATACATACTGCTTCATTAGTAAAGATGGTGTTTTTTCTCAGTGCTCTGCTCTCTGCTCTGCTCTCCAGCGCTAACAAGTCTTGCTTTGTGAGGGAACATTTACAAGATGCAAGCAATAAGGATTCTGTGGGCTTTTAGGCACAGAGTGACAGCAGTTCGTTACGCTTCTGCCTATGCCAGTACCATACTTCTAAAGTCAGATGAGAATTTGGTTTAATTCCTCTTTATGCTGGAACTGTCACTTTTGAGAGGACGAGTGCAGCAGTTCTCCAAGGATAGTGGCTGCTCACGAGTTCACTCTCCTTGCTCTTTTCTATTCCTTTTGCAAAAGATGTGATGTTTTAAAAGCTGGACTTTTAAAACTGACCTTTTTTTAAAAAACTGACTGGACTTTTATGGACTGACTACTAGGGAGTGTGCATAGCAGCTTGCTGAAGAGAGAATGCTTTTCTGCTTGGGTCTGGATCAGCTGGAGCTGGTAATCTGAGGTTCACCTTCCTTTATTTCATTAGTAATTTCTTGATAGTTCACTGTTCAGGAAGAAGTCAGCTTGTGCACACGTGAGTAGTTAGGAGTCTTTTTTTTTTTTTTTTTACATAGAGGACTTTATGTGGTTTCATTCTACTTAAAAACTAGAAGATTCTGTAGGCAGTAATGTGTGTATTTATGTAGATGTAGTATACATATATATATATATATATATATATACTCACATTATAAACACATTTACACTTTCTCTCTCTCTCTGCACATACACACTATATACTTTACTAAAGGCTACATTACCAACATAGGCATTAGTAAAGGAGGGCAGATAATTTTTTACAACAGTTGGTGTTTTCTGTAGCCACTATCACACAAACATGAAGGATGTTATTGTACAAGACTTTGGAAAAAAACCAGATGATTTTCTGTGGCAGCATGTAGTGGTCACTCTAATGGGGTGCTGGGAACTAACAGGGCAATTCGCTGCACTCTTTACTGTGTCACACTGAAAGCTGTCAGAGATCATAGTCCTCTGTCAAAAAGGAAATCAGCAGCAAAGAATTGCTCCTGGCTGTAAATCGGGGATGTTTCAATTAACATAGCTAAGAACTTCACAGGTATAAATTTCATGAGTGATAATAGTAAGTATTCATCATCAACAATATGTTAGTTATGCTTGTGGGATAATTTAGGCCACTCTTATTTTTTATTATTATTTTTATTACATCACTATACTCTAATCCATGTCCAACTGAGAAAATGCAATGCTTTCTCCTTTCTAATAAGAGTTTCCCAGAACAGCAGTGTAACTGTGCTCTATCACTAATGAGCTGCAGATAATCTATAAAACTGGCATTTATTAGAGGCCTTCTGGTACTACATATTGCCTTTTTCATATTCTGTTCTCTAGTGGTTTTTGTGATTAACTATTTACATAGTTTCAGGTAAGTATTCGCTTCAGTGAAGGAGGAGATTACAACTCCCAAAAAAGAAAGAAGGAAGGAAAGACGGGAGAGAGGGGTAGAAGGAGAGTGAGATGGAGTTCTTCAGGGAACTGGGGCGAGTAGAACAGAGATTTGGAGATTTAATGGCATTTTCTTACTGTAGAAGGAGAAAGATCTGCATTCTGTAACAAAACCCACGCTTTATAATAATTAAATAACAAAAGCTGTAATAAAAAAAAGTTGCTTGAATAAGGCTCATTTTGTTTGTGGGGAGGATAACTTGGTGCTAAAAATGGCCACAGGGTTAGTGTTTAACAGTTATAGCTCTGCAATGGCACTCTTGCTCTGTCTCCACAGGTGATTATCAAGTTTTTTGAGTCGGTAGAGTGTGGAGAAATAGTACTTCTGAGGAAGTTCTGAATATTTAAAATAATTATAGGTCAGTTTTTTAGAAAGAGCAAAAACGACAATCTTTATCACCTGAGAAGTTTTCTATATGACTCAAAGAAGCCCAGTTTCATGATGTTCTGCCTGTTGCTCTTAGCTGTGAAAGCACCATTACCGTACTATTTCAACTCAAATCAGTGTTAATTAGCAAGTCTACAGTAGATGGTTGTAAAGGTAGATTGGCCTTATTTGAAATGTGGGCGGGAAATCTGTCCTGTGAAAGCTCTTTATCAAACTAACATTAAACGCACAAATGACAGAGGTGGATTTTGCTGAAATAAACTTTGTGAAGTTGCTGTGTGAGGCATTCCTCAGGTGACAGTTGCTTTACCGCCTGCTTAGCACTGTTGATTGGGCGGTGTAGTTGAAGAGTGCTGTTCTCTAAAGGTTCTTAATGTTACAATGTTTTGAGACTGAAGTGCAACTTGTTTTGGCCTGAGCTCTATTGCTAAGTAGATACTCATTTTTAAAAAACAAAACAAAAACTGTTCCAGGATGCGTGTGAATACAGTGAGGATGACGAGCAGGTGGACATTGAGACCGTGGAGGAGCTTTCAGAGAAGATTAACATTGCCCGTCTGAAGGCCACAGCTGCTAATATCCAACCTTCCAAAGAGAAGTAAGCATCCGTGGAGAGCACTACAGTTTTGTATTTTATTGCTGAGCTGACACTGAGTAAGCCTATTAAACAAGAGATTTTACGTAATGGTAAGATAAAGCAAGGCTTGCCAGGTTTTCCTAAGCATTGGTGCATCTTGGTGTCTGTGAGGATGGGGCTGTCAGAACTAAGAGTAGATTTGAGGTATCTTTGCTTTTGTTTTGTTTTGTTTTTTAAATTTCTCTGTAATTGATTTGTTCATGAGGATATATATCTTGTAATGTGTAATATTTATCAGTACCCTTTCTGCTGAATATTCTACTGAATATTATAAGTGTGGTCACCTTGCTTTTAAATATGATTTTGCAAGCTTTTGTTTTGTTTATTCTTGCTGGTAGATTTCTAGGCAGGAGCAGTCATGGATTTCATCCATGATCCTGTAAATGAAAGCTTTGACTTTGGGACCACTGCCCCCGATGAAGAAAGCCTTTTCTTATTCGTATGTAGTCTGCCATGGTTGGATAGCTTGGCTCTTTTTTTGTTCTGTTTTTATTTGTTGCTGCTGCTGCTACATTTGCATTTATAATGACAATGCAAAGTAAAAACACTGTTAACTTTAAATAAAGTATGTGAAGATGGTCATGGCTATTCCTCAGCTGTATCAAAGTAAGGGAAATCTTTGAAGAACTTTATAAAAATTTAAGAAACAATCTGATGGCAATTAATCTGTGCCTCCCAGATGATTCTTCTTTTTTCCTTGCAGAGATACAGCTCAGTTTTTATTCTTAGAGAGCAACAGAGTTATGCTCTATCAGTTGTCAAGATCCTTCAGTGGGAAAACTAGATCGTATGTTTTGTACAAATAATTCTTTCATATGTGTGTTGTTCTTTGTTTTCTTCAATGCCTGAGAAATAATATGAGGAAGCTGTTTTTATACGTTAGGATAGAAATGAAGGTGAGGATTTTGATTGGTTGGTCTTGGTTGGGGGTATGGTATCATCTGTGTTTATCTGTGTTAACAAAAAGAAAACAACAGCCAGAATACTATCTAAAATCAAATAGAAATACTTTCTGAAGTTAACAGACACTGGCTTAATTTACTGTTGAACTGTGGACTAACTTCACAGCTTTTGGAACAGCTGATTTTTTTTTTTTCCAGAACGATGGCACTGAAGATAGTTGAGTTCCTTGAGAAAGCTCAACAGTGTTCTGCTTTCATGTAGTTAAAAGGAAAAGTTAATTTCAGGGGATAAAAATGAGCAATTCTAGGCTGTTTCAATATACTTAACGAGGATAGAGTGCATGAGATGAGTAGTGTTGGGAAAAACTTTCTACCTTTCTTCCAGATACCATGCTCGTAATTCTTCGGATGAAAAATTAACAGAAAGCCCTACGAAGGTATATGCTCTCCTCTTTCCTTTTGGTATCACATCTCCATTTTAAAGATAAATTTTCATCTCAAGCTCAACTCCAATGCAATTTATCTACCTCTTGTGTTACTTATGATTAAATGCAAGAAACCAAATACATGTTGGGGAAGGGGGAGGCAGTAAAATCTCATTAAAGAAAAAAGGAGCGCAACTGCCATCGGTGATTTCTCACTCCATTTCTTGTACAGGAGAAATATCTGCCTCTTACTTGCTATTATGTTCTCTTAGGTTCTGTGATTTTGGTGTAAATGATGTCTACGGCACCCATAAAATATGTAAGACAATAATATGTAGGATTATACAGACTGCAGCATAGGGCAAAGGATTTCTGAAAACAGTTTAAATAATATGTCCTTAGGCAAGTTAAAGACAGTGCAGAAGCCTTTCAAACCTAAACTCATTGCAGTCCTTCTGAACTTATGCTATATATTAGGGTCACTTTAAGGCACGTTTCACTAATTGTCTGTGATAACTGTCAGCAGTGCACCTGAAGTCAGGTTTAAAGCTACCTGTTGGGAGGGTGGGGTTTGAGGTGTATTGTGAATTTGGTGAATGTTTTGCATATTAGAGCAGACTGGTACATACGTTTTTGCCTGAGATGAGGATGGGTTACAGGGCACATTGCCTCCTCAGTTATTATTCCCTCTGCCCTTGAAACTGACAAGAGGCCCTTCCTTTAAAGGAATTCTGCGCCCAACAGAAGAGCAGATGCAATTACAGCCTTACTTGTGCTCATTCTGCCTGTGAGGGCAAAAGTCAGCATCAGGAGTCAGCCTTCAGACTCCTCCTGAGGCCAGAGGACTCAGAAATATCATTGCTGAATCCGAGGAGTCTTTCTCCTGATTCACTGGGATTTGTAGTAGACCCAAAAATGATGTCAAAGTACATTAATACTTCTAAAGTATTATTTCATCATGAAATAAATACAATAATTAAAAAAACTGTAGGAATAATGCTGAAAAAATCAAATCTTCAAACCTGTAAGGGTGGTTGTTACCTGTGAAGCTTTCTGGACACAAACAGAATTAATCAAAATCAGAGTCTGACCTTAACATTGTCTGTTAATTGGTAGATGTCTGGGGTGATGAATAGCAACAGTGTCTTTTGTCTATTTGCTCCTATTTATATTTACCCAGCAAACAAAATACAAACAAAACTAGTTTAATGTCAGGGAAAAAAGTTGATGGGATATTTTCATTTATTATATGAGTTTTGACAAATGGGGAAGAAACACTGGGGTCAAATGTGTGATTTTGCTGTAATGCTGTGGCTTACCTGCGTAGCCTTGTACTGCAAAAATAGAAAGCTCACAGATAGAAAGGGCTGCTCATGATTGTTTCTTTTAGGACTGATATGATTATGTTGGTCATTTTTGGTTGGTCGGCATTTCATGCTTCTGACACTGAGCTTTCATGAAGACATAATAAACGAATAGCATGATGTGATGTCTTCAGGTGTCTGGTGAAACATTGCAAATCAAGCATGCCTTTGAATAATTTGCTGTTACATTTCCTTTTTTTCATTGAACTGGTCCATATGGTTACTTTTCCAGCAGAATCCTCCAATCTGGAGCAGAAGGCAGAAGTCTGAGGAAGAAGCTTTTGCTCATTACCGCCAGACACACACAGCAAATGAACGCCGGCGACGTAACGAAATGAGAGATCTCTTTGAAAAACTGAAGAGAGCTCTGGGGTTGCACAGTCTTTCCAAGGTGTCCAAATGCTACATTCTCAAGCAAGTGAGTATTTTGAAGCATAGGTGAGGGAGCTTTAACCTGAACAAAGTGTCACGGAGTAGTTGAGTTTGGAAGGGAGCTCTGGAGGCCATCTGGTCCAGCCCTTGCTGAGGCAGGGCCACATGGCGGTTGTTCAAACCTGTGTCCAGGCATCTTTTGAAGAGCTCAAAGGAGGGAGACTCCACAGCCTCTGTAGACAAGCCTGTGCTCTATCACCCCCATCCTCTTTCTACCCTCCCTTCAAGTATTTATATATGTTCATAAGATCCCCTGCCGAGCTTTCTCTAGGCTGTAGAGTCTCAGACTTCTCTCATCGGAGAGATGCCTTCATCATCTTGTGGCTCGTTTCAATACACCCATGCCTCTCTCATATGAGGGAGCCCAGAATTGGACACTACTCTATGTATAGCCTCATCAGTGCTGAGAAGACCGAAAACCACCAGTGCTGAGAAGAGGGAATTACCACCCCCTGCACTGTTGACAATAATTTGCTCAATATAGCACAGTGTGTTGGTAGTCTACTTTGTAGAAAAGGCGTATTGCTGACTTACGTTCAACTTGGTGTTCATTTGGACCTCCAGGTTCTTCCAGCTTCTACAAAGCTCCTTTTTAGTTGGGTGACTCCTAGTATATACCAGTGCCTAGAGCTGTTCCACTACAGGTGCACTTCTCAGTGAATCTCATGAAGTTCTTGTTGGCCTATTTCTCCAGCCTGTTAATTTCATTCTGGATAACAGCAGAACCCTCTGGTGTGTCTGCCACTCCTCTCAACTTTGTGTCACCTGCTTACGTGCACTGCCCCATCACATAAATGTCAGGAAACAAAACTTAAGTTGCAGGTACATAATTATGTTTGTCAGCTGTACCCTGACATGGTGAGATAAAAGACTTTTTTGTTTAAAATGGAAGAACTTGAGAGGAGGGGTGACCAGTATGTTTATCACTTTTCAGCTTGCATTTAGGGAAAGGTAGCTTCATCTGATACACTTCACATCCTGATTCTGAGTCCTGCTTTCTCACGACGATCAGAATGTCTAAGTAAATTTCATAAAGCTTTATTGGGAGGAAAAATATTTTGTAATTTTATGTGTTCTTCACTTATAAATCATTTTCCTGATGTTTTTCTAGGCCTTTGATGAAATCCAGGGATTGACAGATCAGGCAGATAAGCTTACTGGACAGAAGAACTTACTGGCGCGCAAACAGGATACTTTGATTCGAAAAGTTTCCATACTTTCAGGTGAGGATGTTTTTTAGATACAAACCACATGGAATAATAATAGAAAGAAAAAGCTTTCAATTGTAGTACAGAGTAGAGTAATCTTGGGAGGATCTGGGTAAGTCATTAATGTTCACATAAAATTTAGATAGGCCCTTGATGCCAGGCTTGACAAGCCTCTGTGTGATACGCTCACACTGATAAGAAATGCTTTTATTTTCCTTAGTCCCTAAAGGAAATGTAGAAAGATCTCTGTGCTGCAAGACATAAGCCTTAGTTCCCGTTTACTGGGTATGTTTTAGTGGGGAAAAAAATTAATTCTGTCACTGATTGCTTCCCAAAACAGCTTTTCTGCTCAGTGCTTCGTAAGTATGCACAGTTATGTTCTTGGTAACATCAGTACCAAAACTAGCACTTGTATTGCCTAGATGGAGGAGGTAGCCTGTTGTAAAACAGAACTGCACTGTATTCTGAGCTGCTGCTCAGTGAGGGGATTTGAGACCCATGGAATCACAGAATATCCTGAGCTGGAAGGGGCCCACAAGGATTTGTCCATGTTAGAACTTAAACTCTAAATTGTTAGGAGATCAGTGTAGTTATTTCATGTTGGACCAACAAATTGTGAGCATCTACAGAAAACATGATTTCTAAAAATCTTGTTTTGATGTGAAAATTGTAACATTAAACAATGCTGAGCTGTATGCGAGTTTTCTTTTAGATGTTATTTAACAGCATGTATCAGTCCAAGAAAACTCACACAACATACAAATAACGCTGATAATCATGCTTATTAGGAAAGATGTGAGGTATTTCTCCAGAGATGTGGATGTCTTCCAATGGTACTTGTTGAACAGAAGCTACTGCACATTGAAGCTCATTTCTTCTTATCAAAGTTGCAGAGAAGTTCTAAAATGCATGGATGTTTCTGAAAGAAAAAAAATAACTTGTACTAAATATGTAATTATTACTTTCTTGTTTGAGTCTGCTATTTACTTGGTGAGGTTATCTACTGTAAAGTAGTTAAATCACGTCAGAGTGATAAATTTGAAGTTCCATCCTCACATGTTTAGGTTTGGGAAGAGTCTTTGGAACATAGATTAACTTTCCAATGATGTTTCTATAGGGAAGACAGAAGAGGTTGTCCTAAAGAAGCTAGAATATATGTATGCCAAACAAAAAGCTGTAGAAGCACAAAAAAAGAAGAAAAATGTTCAACCAGCAGAATCTGTTGTAACCTCACCTGCTAGCACACATCAAGAAGCATCTTCTGCTCTACCCAGAGATCTGAGCAAAGTGCCTATGACAAATAGAAGAGGCAAGCCATTGATACTTGCCAGAAAAGGAAGCCATGCCACAGGTGGGTTAAAAAGAATGCACTTGTCACTGAATGAAGTCACCTTTTAATTTCATCAAGACTGAAGGGATGTTTGTTGAGAATGTCACTCTAGGGGGCTGAGGCTATTAGACTGCATGAAGAGGAAGTATGGATTTGTTTCTCGCTGTGTTGAGGGGGTTCCTGGAGCCTGTGTCACTTCTGAAGCGGCTTTCTAATCTCAGGCTCATGAACCTTCTAGCTGGCACTTCTTGCATGCCTGTGCTTGATGCTGGATTGCAGGGTATCCAGGTTTGCCATTACAGGTGCTGTGCCAAAATAGTTGATCTACATGTTTCTTTTATACAGAGAACACCTCATCCTCTCTGACACTAACTGCTGCAAGCCTAGTGATGACTCCCCAGGGGCAGGTGCTCACGCTGAAGAGCCCACTGGTACCCGGGCAGGTAGCAGCTGTGCCCTCCACGCTCTTGCAGGCTGAATTAAAGCCTCGAACTGTCAGCAATACCGTGACAGCGCAGCCAGGTACGGTCATGTGAGAGCACGCTAACAGATATGCCATGCATTCAGAGATGTGCATGTCTGTTTGCATGGTAACATTCAATTTTGCCTTTTACTTTTGATTCTTTACAACTTAGTGAGGTAGAACCTGACTTTGATAAAATAAATTTTATATAATTATCACAATCAGTCAGTATGTCAACAGGTAAGTAAAATTTGTTAAATTTTTACTGTTTCCAAACTGGGGAGATAGGAAGTCTCAAGAAAGTAAAGGCAGAAGGAAAAACCTGAGATCTCTTTCGTCACCTAACCTATCTATATTTATACCTTTTACCACTTTCAGATGGTACTACCGTGTAAAGTCTTGCATGGAAGTGTAAGGATTTTATTTTCCAGGCTTGACTGAGTATCTGAAAGGATCTTGTTTCCACTGAATTCCCATTCCCCTTTTTTTGGGTAAGGTATTGCTTCTGTGATGATTCAGCTGCCTGGATCAGCAGTTCCTGTCCAAGTAAAAGGAATCCTTACTAACTCTGCTATTCCCATTACACTGTCAACTGTTGCTGGAAACCCAGTACCCTCAGCAGTAGTTCCAGCCCCAGAGTCCCATTCAGGTAGGCTCTTTATTTTTTATGGATCTTTCTGCATGTATGTAGGGAAGGCTACCCTTGCAAAAATGAGGCTGAACTATTTTTCTTATTAGGAAGTAACAGTAGATGCTGTTGTCTGGGTTTTCAGGGGAAATCACTATTAAGTCTTTTTAACAGATCAGAAGGTCCTTAAAGGACTAAATACAAGAGCTTTATTTTTGTTTTTTGCTTTTGTTTTTTTAAACCCAAGTCTTTCTCTTTCTCTCTCTCTTTCCCTTTCTCAAGTCTAAATAATTCTTCTTACCCTCAGCAAACTAAAAAGAATTGAGGCCTAGAACATGTCCATGGCATAATGCATTCCACTAGGGAAGTTCAGTAAAAAGTGATTGTGGGGCTGTTGAAAATCTTTCTGAGGGCAAAGATTTTGTTTTCCTCATGCATCACTGGAAGAGCTGTAAGTGTTACAGTTGCTTCCATCTGTGCCAGCCTTCTGAAGGAAGGGACTGGGCAAGTGTTTTTTGGTTTTTTTTTTTTACAAGTTGAAAGCTACACTATTAAGATTTTGGCTCTTTGCTTAACCAAAACTGTGCAAGTTGCTTAAATTGTGAATTGCAGCTTATTCGAGAAAGTAAGCAAATGAAATATAAATAGGAATTATCTTGCCGTTAGTGTGGATCAGGATGGATTGTGCTTTGTTTGGTTTTGCAGAAAGTGAAGATTCATTCATGATGCCAAAGATTGTTAATGTAACATCCCTGGCTGCTGAAGAAGGCCTGAGTCTAAACCTGAACAGAAGCAAAAATTCTAACACGACAGCTGCGAGTACTCAGGCTTCTGAGAAATCTTTGGTGTCGCCTCTTGAAAGTAGGAAGAGCGACAGCATCCTTTTAGAAGAGAAAAGCAAACCGTGTCCTGGAGACAGTGACGGAGAGGGAAGAAGTAGCACAGGTTCTGTGAAAGGTTTCTTTGAAAACAAAGATGGTTTTCCACAGCTCCAGAATGTATCGTGTGCAAAGGAACCTCCAGAGTCTTTTGGCAAAAAGCTCTGCGTTGGTGAGCTTGTAGGAAGCCAAGCCAGGAAGAAGGATGGTGATCACGGAGGGGAAAGGTTGAAAACGAAAGAGCTGCCATTTCGCAAGCTGCAGATCAAAGATTCGAGGATAGAAATGGAACTGAGGAAAGTAGCTTCTGCAATGGAGGAAGCAGAACTGGATGCAGGTGAGTTACTGAGCAGCATTGAGGAGAGTGATGACACTGATGAGACCCTCACTTCTCTGCTCAATGAGATTGCTTTTCTCAATCAGCAACTGAATGATGACGCTTCAGGTATGTCAGAGCTGCCCAGCGCTCTAGGCTCAGATTTCTCCCATGGAGACGCAGAGGCCCGCCGCGGAACAGCCGGTGATCTCACCACTGCAGATGGTTCTTCCTTCCAGTTCGGCCATCTGGGAGGCGCTTTTAAAGACCTTTCTGAGGTTCCAGAGGGCGGTGGCTCTTTAAGCCCTCTCTTGTTGCACCTGGAAGATGATGACCTTACTGAGGGGGACAAGAATTCTGGGGAGCCTTCATCTGAAGCAGATGTTCTGAAAATAGTAATCGGTGCTGAAATGAAGGATGCGCTTCCCAACCTGTCTGTAACCAGTGGCGGGAATGGCAAAACTGTAGCAAACTTGGCAGAGGCCACTGGTGTGACTCCACCGATTTTGCAGATGAAAACTAACCCGGAAGCTAGTAATGCTGACACTTTGTGGAGGCCCATGCCCAAGTTGGCACCGCTTGGCTTAAAAGTAGCAAGTCTGCCAGTGGATTCAGAAGGGCAGAGTGCTAAAGTGATGCCCTTGCTGGCACCTATAGTTGCAAAACTGGCACCCGCTGGGGTAAAAACTTCATCTGTAACCGCTCAAGAAGGACAGGATAACAAAACAATGCCTGCATTAGCTCCTGTGGGTACAAAATTTAGTAATTCTGGGACCCTACCTTCAAATTCAGTTGGCAAATAAGTGTGCGTATATTTTATCAGAGAGTGGAATGGAGATCTGGAGCAGTGCGAACCAATGGCTGTGTCTGGCAACCTCCCTTGTCTGCAACACTTTGTTTTCTGTATGGCATCAGCACTGTTCGTCTGAGGGCAGGCCCCAAACTGAGAAATGAGTGCTATGAAGCTAAAGCATGTTGACGTATTTTTACCTCACTGTTGTATTCTGGGAGTTCTCATTCCCCTTCACAAAATATGGAAGATGATCTGTAAACCGTTGCTGGGCACGTGGTATCCTTCCAAAATAGGATCTTCAAGGAAATAGTTTATAAAAGGACTGAGAAACTTAGGCTGTTGACAGAGATTTTTTTTTTCCCAGTAGACAGGCAGCTGTTTGTTGTTGAGTTAAAAATCAGGTGTATTTGGTTTTGTACCAGGCAAACTATCTATGCAGAAATGGAATTGTTCACATTTATTGTACCCAGTGTTTTGCAGAATACAATGCATGTGCAGAAATGAGATTGCAATTACTGTCAGATTTGTTACCTAGAACAGCAGAAGGGAAACTGCAGATTGTGTGGAGGGCTGAAGTGAAGCGTTTCTGTTCCTTGGTGCTAGTGCTCTGTCAGAGACTCTTTGTAGTAGCTTATGCACAGAACTCTTAGTACATGGGAAGGATATTTCCCACTGTAATAAGAACTAGAACAGTATGTAAACTCTTAAAAAAATAAAAATACAAAAAATTGAAAACCCACCACTTTCACCTCATGCCCCCATCCAAATAACTCTCTCTTTGATGGTTCGGGCATTCGTAAGGGAAGAGTTCAGAGAGTAGAGAAGAATTTGGGTACCTCTTTGCTCCATCTCTAAATACAATGCTGAAGTAGCTGGAGCATTTTCCTAGTTCTCTTCATTCCTCCTGCCATTCTTCAAGATGCATTTGGTTGCTAGATGTGTTAATAGGAAGTCTTTCTTCATGAAATACAGAACTGTATCTGGAACAGAACTGGTACAGAACTGTCAGGGCTGTTGGAGCCTAAAATAAATGAGTGAGGTGTATATTTGAATGTATATATGAAAATATGTATAGCTTTTCAACCTTACATTTCTTCATGAATTCAGGAAAGGTACTCAGAGGTTTCTCACTGCGTTTGCACAAGATGTGTATAGGAAAAAAAAAAGCCAACAAAAATGCTCATTACCAGGGAAATAGGGCAGTATTGAATCACAAGATGTATTTTTATTCTTCTCTGCCACTGCTTACTCAATAACCTGTAGGTGCTCTTTGCTGTCCCTCTGTAGGAGGTGAAGGGCCTGCAGACTGTAAAGATATTTATATTTTTGTACACGATTTTTGTTTTCATAGTTTTCTTGAAAAATGAAATTTTCAGCCTAGGAGAGATGATTTGTTAATGAGTGCATACACAGTCTTTTCCTATCAAGTTTGTAAACAGGAGTTACGGTGCGCTTGAGGGGCTTCTGAACTGCTCCTAGAAGGCAGAAAGCATGGCTGTGAGAACGATACAGAAGTTGGAAAATAGATGGTGCATTTTGCTTTACATTTAGGAACATTATCCCCTGCCTTACTGTTCTGGCAGCAGCAGCTGGGATTTTTCCCTCCCTCCCATATTCCCAGTCTTTGGTGAGGCACTACAGGAGGAATCTCATCTTCCCGCACTGAGGCTGTGCAGTGCTGAGTGATGTTCTTCCACAGTTGGAGAGCAGTGTTTGCTCTACATGCTGTGCAGCCGTATGGGGTAAGCTGCAGCTTCTGGATCTATGTCTGCTTGCGCCCCCTAGGGGATGGTATATCTTGGGTGTTTGCTGGTCTTTTTTATGATTTATCTATTATGCTGTGAAGGAGAGGAGCCCTTATAGCTAGGTGTGCAAGCAGGTTACTTCAGAGCCTGTATGAATAAGGTGTCTTCGCCTTGTCTCTCTAAGCGATGTGTTTTAAAGCAGTTACATGTATCTCATTGCTCATTGCTGTCTCATTTAAATGTTTGATACTAGTGTTATATTAATTCTTTGGAAGAGAGAATATATGCCAGCCTGAGAGTCATGCAGAGTCTTACAGTTCTCACTGGAATGCCTTAGAAAAGGGAATTAATTTGTGAATACACGTATTTTGCTTAATGTTAAGGATTTTAAACCTTGTTTTAAGTCAGTGGAAGTCTGGAGTAACTTTATCAGTTCAGTAGCATTACATCAGACATAAAATTATTTACCTGGGAATCTGGTTCTGAGCATTTCTAATAGGCTGAAGTTGTTTTTTTTTTTTAATAACCTATGGCAGTTTACTTTGCCAAGTGCTTTTATGCCCCCCTCCCATGCATGAAACAGCAACCAGAACAGCGGTGATTCCTCTCAAATCCCCAGTCACTGACTTCTTTCTGCCCCCTGCCCCTTCATGGTCCCACCTGGCTGATGTATAACTACAGAATTGTGTTGCTTAAGTGCTTTTAAAAAGGTTTGTGCGTTGCACGCTTCTTTCTGTAAGGCAGAGGAAGCAGCAGCATTAAAGCCATGCAAAGGTTATCTGAAATCAGTGTTCTGCTGTAGTAGATGTTTTGTTCACTATCAAGGTAACAGAAGGTGCTTGGAAAAAATGCTGGTTCCTGCATGTAGTACTTTAGGTAAGAACACACCCCAACTTTAGCTGCAAAAGGCAGTGATTGGTACAGTGCTGGGCAACAAAGCATGTTTGAAATGCTCTCTGTTCTTGCTTCTCCTTGTTTCACCATCTCTTGACTGCAGCTTAATAATTTGCTATGGATTTAAATGCTGCTCCCCCTCAGTTCCCCCCCACCCCCTTTTTTTTTTTCCCCTCATACTCCCATTTATTTGGAATATATCTTTTAAAAATGATGTATGCTGTCTTTTGAGGCAATAATGCAAGAATGTGACATGAAATGAAAAGGTTTTAGAGTCAGGAGAAGGAAACCCCTGCAAGGCGCACATTCTCACTAGACCAAGAGACCTGGAGATTTTGTTTTTTACACACCTGTAAATAGACTGGAATGTTTTTAAGAATATAATGAGATGTCAGATTTAGCTTTTTTCCTTTTATATATTAAAATATATCTTTCCCTCTTTTCTGCTTTTGAAAAATTGATATTTTTGTAGAAAACTAACAGTACAGGACTATGAAATAACTGTATGTGAGGGACAAAGTGTAAAACTAAAATAAACCAATCAAGCTGAACTAGAAAGTGACTCTGAAAGTTTGTTACATGGAGAGGGGGGTGGGGGGAAACGGTGATGGCACGTTGTGGTGACATGAGCTCTGTACCCAAGCCAGCAACACATGTGTACTCTGAAGCAGAGGAATTCCTGGTGATGCAAGCATTGCTGCTTGGTTCGGGTCATTGCACACACACACACAAATTGTTGAAGATTAAGTCTCTGTGCTCCCTTCATGCTCCCTCCCCAATCCTAAATTCAGATTAATCTTTGCTATCTTTGCTTTGCAGACACTGTACAGCATGGCTGTCTTTATGGAAACAAGTCTGAAGATGTGTCCCCAGGTGAAGTGTCAGAGGAGATACGTCTTAGAGGAAGTAGATACAATGCCTGCTACAAGGTGCTATCTGTCACTGCTGTCACCTCAATTTCATGATCTGTTAAATGGGAGATAACACACAAATCTCAGAGGAGAAAATGAATAAAAATGTGTTGTTGTAGTCAGGTAGCATATTTTTGACAGCTTCTGATGAAACCCTTCAGGGCTTCATCCCATGATCTTTATTTTAAGGGACAGGGTTATATTTTGGAATGGAAAGGAATGTAAATGTAATGTTTATCCCATTGGGTTTGCAACTGAAAGAACTTAGCAAGAAAGTTCCCTGATGACCAGGGCTGGGAGCTGTGGTACTTGAGTGCATTTAGGGCTCCTTGGCTGCGTCACCCTGATGGGACCAGCTCTGAGGAGGGGAACATAGAAAAGCTTGACAGTAACATCCCTAGGTGAGTTTTGACTTACCTCTGGTGAGCGGCAGGACTGAGGGTGCTGCACTGCTGGGCTTGTTCCTGCTGGCCCCATGTAGTTCCCCTGTCCAACACAGAGGGGTGCCCCTTGCTAGCATCACAGCTTGACATGTCTTGTGGGCTAAAGCCAGGCAATTAAATAGCAGCTAAAAAAAGATGCAACACAAACATAAGCAGTGTACCATTTTTAGAGGTTTCCCTTTTCCATTAACTCCTTACTCAACAGCTGGACTAAGAAACTGCTTTTCTTGAGCAGCTCCTGTGGTGAAATCCTTGCTGATCAGCTATGGCATGGTGTAAACCACAGGGCTGCTGTGTGGCTCTGCGGCTGTGACACCAGCACAGAGGTCTCAGTGAGCACTGAGGGTTTGGGCAAGGTCTGTGTGCAGCATGGCTCTGCCAAATTTGCGTTAGATGGAGCTCCTGGCTGATGTAAGGATGAAAAATACTTCACAGGCTGAGGTGCTAGAGGACATTGAAACAATTTGTGGGGTAGTGACGGTGTTCAGGAGGGGCAGGCAATGGTTGGGACTGGACTGGCTTGTTTCAGTTGGAGCTGTTTGACTGCTCTTGTTGGCAAATCAGCAGGGCTGTGACATCTCTATGGCTGTTCTAGGATGGTAGCAACCATAGAAAGAGGAGTCTGTGCTTGAGGAGATAGCGTGGCTACTGGGGCACCTGGCTCCTTGCAGGAACTCTTCTCAGCCCCAGAGGCCGGTGCTCCTCCTTGCTTTGAGACAAACCACTTAAAACCAGAACTGCATTCTTCCATGTAGCCCAGCTCACAGGTTGAGGGAGCCTTCATCTCATGTCCCAACGCTTACTTCACAAGAGCCAGAACTTCACCCTCTGTCCTCTGCCCTGTTGTGCTTGCCCTTGTCTGGCTGTTGGACCTCTTGTGTTGGGCTCACATCTGCAGCCATGGGTCTCTTTGTGGCATCCGTGGCAGGGATGATTTTAAGGATCATGGTGTTTCTGGCCCAATTGCTTTCCTACTGAAGGAAAAATGAAAGGCCAGTGACAAGGTGTCTGATTTTGATCAGTGTCAAGTCAAGCATGGAGCCATTAGCATAAATGTTAGAGCTGCACTCCCTCAGGAGCCGCTTGTTGCTGGGTGCGAATGAAGCTGGGCAGCACCCAGCGAGGAGGGCCCTGGGCATTACTTGTGAGGTACAGTTCCATCAGGAAGCTCTGTTGGTCCCTGCCCAGGCCTCAGGCACTGGCAGTGCTGGGCTTAGAAAAGAGCTGGCTGACACGATGCTTTGCTCCTGGGATGGGCTGGGCTCTGCTGTAAAACAAGGCTATGGAGTCAGGGTAAAACGTGATCCAGCAAACCTTTCACATCCCTTTGGGAGACATGTTAGATGAGTTCTGCCTTGTGAAAGCAGCAGGGCCAGCACATGTGGGCATGAGGTATGAGGTGGATGACATAGCAGATTGTTTTTTTCCTGCTCTAGTTAGCTTGAGACTTTCTTTAAATGATGTAGATCTGATGATAGCTTGTTACAACTTGTGCTCGGGTGACTGACAGTAAAAACGCGAAGGAAAAAGGAGGTCTTTGCAGAACTTTTGCAACAGGTGATGATTAGCTCCCATTCCTCAGCTGGCACTTTCACTTTTCGGTTATGATTACTCTTGGCTTTTAACATATGAGGCAAGCACTCTTTCAGCTCAGGACTGCTTTGTGGAGCTTTAAATTTGCTTCCTCAGCTTTTGGATGTCTGAAGCAATAAAATAAAAACAATCCCCTTCCTGCAGTCGCACCCCACGGAAGTTTAGGGGTTATCTGCTTGCACTGTGAGTCTTGGTCTCCATGAAGAATTTCCAGTAAGCAGCTCCCATCAGGAGAGCCGAACTGGTGGCAGCCACAGTGGGAATTGTTTACTACCATGCTCCAGCGCAGACAAGGCCTCATTGTCTGACTTTGACAGGGAAAACATCCACTTTTGCAAACTTTGCTGAGCAAGGGAGAAAATAATTATATTGCAGATCAGCTTACAAGGGGCACATTCATGTTTGGAAGAAAACTTGATTTTCATAGGGCGGGGAAGAGAGGCACCGCTGCCAAAGGGAAAAGCCAGCCGGCAGCGTCAGTGACCTACAAAGACGGCCTTGAGCCAGCAGCTGCTCCTGGTCAGGGGGATCCCAGGAACCTGGAGCTGGGTCTCTGGCCCTGGCTGGCACGGGGTTTGCCATGAGCAGTGCAGGCAGCACAGCCTGACAGGGGAAGCATTAGTGCAGCCACATCGTGTTCGGGGCCCAGTGTTGGCGACATTTTGCCTCATGTGTTTTCACTTAGGAGGATGACATGGTGAGTAAGGAATAGGTTTTGCAGCACAAGGCTGGCTGTGATCAGCTGTGTGCTGTTGGCTTTGGTTGTTGTATGGCTGCCTTCCCCCATGCAGGGTGTACCAGCTGGAGCCATTTTGGTTGTCTGCTCAGAGGGTGGATGCAATTATCTTCTTTTCACAAGTTTGCATGTAATTTCCTTCCCTTAATCTTAAATTAAATAAATAAACAACACAAGCAGAAATGAGCTGTGTAACAAGCTGATAACACATTAATTTTTTTCATCAGATTGAAAGCCAAGCTCAAATGAGTCTAGTTCTATTAATCTCATTGGGTTTTGTGAACATCTCTCTCAAGACTCTCTCTTTGTAGGAAGCTGTAACCGCCAGCATAAGCCCAGTTTGTTGTCATGGCAATTTCATTAGCTGCCTTATCGCTGTGTCAAATCGTAGGCACTTGTGGGCTGAAGGGAAAACTCAAGTGAGAAGCGACCTCTGGAGATGTGCAGCTCAGCCTCCTGCTCAGACCCAGGGCAACCATCAGACCAAGCTAGGTTGTTCAATGCTTTCTCCAGCCATGACCTGAAAACCCCAAGATTTTGGGGGGCTGCAGCTTTGCCAGGCTGCTGCCGCTGCCTTCCTGCCTTCCCAACACCTGTCACACTAGCAGTAGCCTCGTGAGTTTGTTGCATCTTTGACATAATGTCTGTCATTATGTCAATCCCCACCTTGATTCTATCTGTACTATTTTTGGTTTCTTTCTCTCTCTGCTGGGTTGTTGCACCTCATTGCTCATAAACATATACTGGTTCCAGCCACACAGCTGCCCTGAGCTCTCTTGTATCTGCTGTCTCATGATGCCTGAAGACCATGAACTTGAGATCTGGGTCTATTTCTCTATTCCCATCTCTTTCAGTCACTTATCTTGCCAGATGACTAATTGGCCACATTTTCTTCTGTCTGGCATTTGAGCCACACTGCACTGCTTTTAGGAAAGCATCCCTCATCAGAGCACTGTTGCATGTCAGCATGGAAATGAGCACATCCATACATGCTGGTTAGATGCGCACTTGAATTCTCTCCAGACAGTCTTACTCATGCAAATAGTGCTGCTGACCCCTTCCTATTTGATGTCACCTCTGTAAAGTGTTCTGCCCTAAAGAAAGGGAGGGGACAGTGCATGTGTGTGAGTGTCCTTGTCCTGAGAGCGGGGGAGGCACTCCTTTGCCAACTGCCTCTGACAGGATTGCTTCGTGACTTTTGTGTTTCACTCCTCTTCTACTTGACTTGTATTACTATACCATGGCCTGAGGGAAACTGCCATCCAAGGTTTGTGGTGTTCTACTGAATTATCGTTGCTATGGGTAGTGGGAAGGTCAAATTTCATTCTGCATGGTGAATTCTGCAAGCTCAGGTATGTTATTCGGGAAATCAGGCTGAGGGCCTGAGAGGCTGCGTCAAGGAGCCTGAGGTTGAATGGAATGAGATTTTAAGAGGAGCTTACTGTAAGTTGTTGCCTTGGCTTCCCAAGAAAATGCAGCTGGAATTGAATACCTAACCTAGGCTTATTGGGAAGCCCTGGCTTCAGGGCCAGGTGCCACAGCTCTCTTTGTGCCCACCTCTGCCTGCACACTGCTTCCTGGATGCAGTCTCTGCAACAGTTCTTTGCCTGATGCCCAGCAGGGTTCTTGTGGTGAGGCTCTTGGGGAGTCTGCCATAAAGAGGCTGCCACAGGCTTCTACTGAATAGGGCTGGGCTGGGTACAGGCAGTGGGTCTGAAAAACTGCAAATGCAGTCCTGTTCAGATAACAAATGCAACCAGGACCTGCTCTCACTGTGGTGCCACAGCTGGCCTAGTAGGAATGCGTACTCTTTTGTTTTTAAGGAAGAGAAATGCAAAAAGTAGAGCCAGTAGAAGTGGCATTCATAA